AATTCTTTCAATTGCTTGTATACCGAATTGCTGATCGATCTGAAACTGCTTTGAACTTTTAGTTTGAGACTATTGTTCTTACCATTCCTCCTCGAGAGAAGTGTCCTAATCGATACGACTGTGCTGCGTATCTGGGCCGGTAGATTCTGGTCGAAACTGCGAGTTTAAAGCTGCGCGTTAACTCAGAGTTGAGTCTGAGTTTCGTTTTAAAACTGCGAGTTAACTGCGAGTTTCGTTTCTGAAACTCGAAGTTTCGTTCTGCTACTTAAGGATCCGCTCCAATGAGGAGCCGCCACATGCTTCATCGCAAAACGTTGCGATCAAATCGGGTCTCGAACTTACGTTGCTCGGCGCGAAGTGCCTACTTCTAGACCGCTAGGCTAAAGAGCGACTATTTCGCAATTGCCGCAACTGCTTAGTGAATCCAAGTAACCAAGATCTTACATGTCAAGACACGTGGAGAGGCGTTAGGCTTGCCTGTGAGGTGCCTACCAGTGGCGGTCTCAGAGCGGTTCCGGGGGGGGGGGGCGGCAAAAATTTTTCTCAAGTAAAGGTGCGTGGCGTCAGCCACGCACTCTGAAAATTTTTTTGAGGTGCATCTCAAAATTCTTGCGGGTCTAAAGCCCCCGAAAATTTTTTTACAAGGCTATTTGAATTTTTAAAAAATTCTAAAAATTATTTTGATTGTTTACAAAAATAAACAAGTCATTTGCACATTTTTATAAACCATGTAGGTTCACCCCCGCCCCCTTCAATCCGCTACTGGTGCCTAGCCATAATATATCCTAAAGATTCTTAAAAAAGTAGCAGGATAAAACATGGACATAGACAGTAACCTAACAATCCGTCCCCCTCCCCTCTCACCATATTGATATGCAATTATACTTGATAAAATTCGAAAGTCTGTTGGTTTTCAAAATTTTTCGAATGACCTAGATCTATAATTTGTAATCTTGAAATAGACCATTATTTTAGAAAAATAGACTTCAAGTAGTAAACAAAGTCTACAGGTCATTAGTAATTCGACTGATAGAATTTCAAAAGACCTCCGAATAATATTATATTAGGTTGTAACAGAATTAATGCAGGTTTTGAATTCCAACCGCAATATGTCATACACTTCTTATTTCTAATTAAGTTGCAAAACACCATTCGATAGAGCAAAGCAAGCTCTACAAGATGGCAATCTTGCTTTAGCAACAACCAGATCCACCACGAGTTTCGAGCTAAAAAACCTACAAAAATTTCAACTTGCTCACGTAAACACTATTCACATAAGACATCTATACAAGCCTTTACCGTATTTTTTTCTCTGTTAGAAATAAAGAAAACGGAAATTTTCGTGCGTTTGCCAAAGTGATGCTATGCCATTCCCACATAAGTAGTTGTATACTACAAAGCTGTAGAAGTACAAACGTAAATTTTCAGTTCTCTACAAGCTTTATTTCTCGAAAAATCGAATACAGTTTTTGCTAGTCATGTGGTCCAAGCTAAAATTCAAATTTCTCGAGAACCAAAGCTTGGAGAGAGCTGAAAAGTTACGTTTGTACTTCTACAGCTTTGTAGTATACATCTACTTATGTGGAGACGACACAGCATCGCTTTGGCAAAAGCATGGATTTTCGTTTTCTTGATTCCTAACAAAGTAAAAAAAACGGCAACGGCATACATATATGTCTTATGTGGATAGTGTTTACGTGAGCAAGCTAAAATCTTTGTAGGATTCTTATGAACTGAGTTACGATATTTCTCAATTTTTCGGACAGTTGAATCTTTTTAGTTTTTGGCTCGAAACTCGTGTTGGATCAGAGTTGTTGCTAAAGCAAGACTGCCACCTTATAGAGATTGCTTTGCTCTATCGAATGGTATCTTGCAACCTAATTAGAAATGAGAAGTGTATGACTTATTGCGGTTGGAATTCAAAACCTGCATTAATTCTGTTACAACCTAATATAACAAATTTAAAAAAAATTTTTCGAGGTTTCTGTTGACACATCAAAAAGGAAATAATTTGAAAAACACTCCCTGGTATCATTGCTTTTTTGCAGAAAGTTCAGCTCAACCTGAGATCTTCGCTTTTTTTCCGTATACGCCCACCGTAATAATCCTCATTGAAAACAGACAGCATGTTCATGATTGCACTGCCAAAGAACTCAGTGGTGAATTTTTAAGCAGTTCAGTTAGTTTAGTCCACCACATCTACTGTAACCCCATCGCATAGTCTTGCAGTAGAAAAAAATAGTAAGTATCTAAAGTCCGGACCGAAGGGGAGGCTCCCCCTCCCCCGAAAATAAGTCGCGAAATTTCTGAAATTTACTTACTGGGTTATAAAAATGTGCAAATGACTTGTTCGTTCTTGTAAACAATAAAATTGTCTCTCAAAATTTTTTAAAAATTCAAATTAGCCTTGTGAACGATTTTTTGGGGGCGTGGCTGCTGACACGCCCCCTTCCTAGAATTTAGGGGTAAGGGCCAGTGAGAAATGTTAAGATGTACCCCAAAAAAATTGTCGGTACCCCAAAAAAATTGTCGCCATGCACCTTCACTTGAAAAATTTTTTGTCTCCCTTCCCCCCTCCTCCCGGACGGATATCCTGCGACCGTCACTGGTGACTAAGTAGTTAGCTAAACTTCCCCTGAAGAAAGTTCTAAGTGAGATTTTTTTATCCATCTACCGTAAATCCATCGAAACCCCTTTTTGAAAGGTAATTTCAAGCGAATATGATATTCCTGATTAACGTGCGGAATTAACGAAGCCAACTTTCATGAAATCCTGTGCTTTTGATTAGTCTACCGTATCTCTTCACCGCTATAAACCGCTGTAGTGAAAAACGCGCAAAGCGATCGTAATCAACAACCGCGTAAAGCCACTGAGCCAACCAATTTTGAATCTGTATGGGACTTTGGCTTTCAACAAATTCCTACAGTACCCCTGCTCTATCTCTCTGCAGTGAAAAATGATTACCACATCCGAATTAGCGCAGCGAATAACCCCGCCAAACCAAGTTTCAGTCAACTACTTGAATTTCACCCAACTACCGTATTACTGCCGCAACCTCGTTATGTGGCGAATGGCGAAAATGAGCATCGGATTCGTGATCGGCGTGCCAAAAAAACCCCACTGTAACATGTTTCAGGCAATTTTGTGACTTTCGTCTAACTACCGTATACCTACCGTAATCCCGCTCCGTGGCCCCGTAGCGAAAAACGAATGTTATATTCATGATCAGCATGCCAAAAAACCCCATTGTACCAAGTTTCAGTTAATTTCGTGATTTTCGCCCAACTACCGTATCCCTACCGTAACCCCCTTATGTGGGCGAATGGCGAAAAATGAGCATCGGATTCGTGATCAGCGCGTCGGATAACCCCCGGGATCAAAATTTCACAAAATTTTGAAATTTTGTGTTCAACAGTGCATCATGATATTTTGTGTTCAGCAGTGCACCATCCCCCACCATGCTTGAAACTCGGAGCAAAATGTACTCCGGAGAACTTTTTAGCTGCACCTGTGCGTTTGCACACTATTCTTTCCTTAACCAAACTCAGAGTTAACTCCGAGTTTCGCGGGCGCCTAAAACGCGCAGCAAACTAAGAGTTAACGCTCAGCTGAGCTGCGCTTTTCGTCGCGTAGCGTCTCGCGTGGAGCGAATTACGCTACGTTTCCACACTTGGCATAAAGTACGTCTTGCTGGGAATCCTGCCATATAACTCTTTCCCCAATTTGGTGTGCTTATGCAGGTGTTAATGGTCCCTGAAAGGTGCGTGTTAACTCAGAACTCAGCTCAAACTCAGAGTTAACTCTGAGTTTGAGCTGCGCGTTTCGACAGGTTTACTACCGGCCCTGATGATTTGGTAGTCGCTTCTGTAGTGGGACGTGTAATGTATTTATCTGAGTTGCTAAATTCTAAATTGCTACCAGTGTGCTCTGTGAGGACAAAAGCATTGACTTGTAATTGGCTGGCCCGCAATTCACTCTAGGGTCTACATTCACTAGCCCTTCCGATTACACGACGCGCTCGACGCATGCCCGCAAGGGGTATTGAAGATGTCGGAAAACCTTTGTCGAACAAAGAAGTTTGCAGTCCAGATTCGGCGCGCAGTTCGCCTGTACATGTAGCTCCGCCCAACGGCAACGGTTGTGAAATCGTAAACCGGAAAACACTGCGTGTGGCTTCAAAGACAACTTTTGGGCAAGACGGCGACCCATGTATTTCTATCTTTATTGTTCCATTAGATAGTATAAAGAGTGCAGAGGTGCTGGCTGGTTCCGATTAATCAGTATGCACTTGCTATTGTGGGCAAACCGAGGAGGCAGGCGGGAGAACCAGACCTTTTCAAGGCGATTTTTTATCTTTATGTCAAATCATGACATCGCGTTTGAATGATGGGTTGGGGGCCTACTATTGTACTGCGTGAAAAGTTAATCCTCCCCACTTTTGACGAGACCCCGCCTTTCGTGTTAGTAAAAGCGCGGTAATAAAAAACTCACTTAATCATAACACGCTAGGGCCAAGAGACGATCCACGTACTAGATCAACCAAAAAGTAGTGAAGAGGTTCTAAAAAGATCTGAGAGGATCTTCATTTTTCGAGGGCGGACTCTGTCAAAAATTTCACGGTTCCAGCGCACGCCACTTCACTTGTGAACTCTTTCAATACGAACCCCGGAGCCTATGCCCTGATTCGAGTCAACAGTTAGTACGCTATACGGAATGCTCGTTTGCTTCTGGCGAAGAGAGGGCGCTGAGAGGCTGTGTTGAAACTTCTACGAGAAAATGTATTTATTCGGTAAATCGTCGATGTAGAGCTTGTTTGGTGACATTGTTTTAATGCGTAAGTCTGGAAAATTTAAAGAAAGATTCTTGTTTTTTCTTGAATGTAGAGTTTACTTCTCATAACTTTCATTATTTCTTTTTCTTTTTCTTAGCGCTGCTCTTCTTACCCTGAAGTACGTAACATAGTTGTGCTTCTTTTGTGTCTACAATATCTATCACACCTTCACTTTTTCTGGGACGTCGCTTGCACCAGACTTCGAGGTTCCCGAACTTTTAGAGCCTTTGGAAGCAGATTGTTTTGGAGTCACCTTCTTTTTGTCGGTCGATTTCTTATCCGTTTCCTTTTTCTCCTCCTTCTTGAGTAGTGCTGCCTTTTCAGGGCCCTCCTTTTCCTTCGATGGCACAGATTTTTCTGCGGAGACCTTGTGCTTCTCACCCGTTTCTTTGTCCTTTTCATCACTTTGCTTTTCTGGCGCTTTTGGAACAATAGTTGGAGTCGCCTTCTTTGGCTTTTCCATCGTTTCCTTTTTTTCAAGCTTCTCTGCTTTTGCTATCTTGTCTTTAGGGACTACAGGATGCGGTACTTTTGTTGGAATAAGTGCAACAGGTGCCTTTTCTTTCGCATGTTCGTCTTTTTCGACCACCACGTTTTCCTCTTTAAGCAAAGGCTTCTCTTCTTTTTGGATACCCTCCTTTTTTTCCTCCTCTGGTGGAGCTTTTTCAGTTGGTTCTTTCTTCACTTCAGCTTCCTTTTTCTAAAATTGTATGTAGTAACCAATGCTTGCTTTCAATCTGATAGCTTTTTTATAGTCGTTACCGCTTCCTCTTGCTCTGCTGACGGTGCCTTACGTGCCGGTGGCGATTCTTGCGCTGGAGCTTGCTCTGCTTCCTAGTAACTTTCATAGTGTTCATAGTGCAAATAAACCTTCACCACTCACCTTCTTCGCTGCGGATTCTTCTTGTTCAGCTGATGGTTGCTTCTGGGTTGGCGGTGGCTCTTGCGCCGGTGACGTTCCTTGGATTGGTGACTGCTGTTGATCACCTCCCTGAACGCTTAAAATGTTCCACACTGTAAGCACTTTCGTAGTTCAACCTCTCCAGGTTTGGTTTCAGCCTGACCCATGATGATGAAGTTCTGAAATGAGTAAATCTATAGAGGTCAAGCGCTTTTATAATGATGGGCTTATCTGATTGCATATCTCAACTCCGATTATTTTTAGAAAGCTTCACCCTTGAGAATGACCATTCAAAAGTTTTCTCTCGCTCTTAGATCGTCAGCAAAATAATATTCAGGGTATAAGCCGTGTTTTGGGGTAAGCTTTCCTCAGTTTGATTGCAACTTCAAGGCAAACTAATACAAACTCTGCCATCTGCGAAACAAGGTACACGCGTATGGTAAAAGGATTTCCGTACGGGAAGGGTATGAAAAGGTTTTCTTCTGAAATAGGTGCTTAGAATTAATCATGCGCTTCGAGAAATTTTTGGGGATGCTTTCGAATTTGCGGGCTTGTGCCCGCAAAAACTGTAGAAAAGGGGGGCGTGGAGGTGCCACGTTTCTCCCAGTTTCTTGCAGCTAATATGAATTTTTAAAAAAACTAAAATCAAAAAGTTTATTCTGATTATTTGCAAGTATAAACAAGTTTCTCGCATATTTTTATAACCCATTCAAGTAACTTTCAGTAACTTCGCGAATCAATCCCCCCCCCCACCCCCTCCTCGGTCGGCCACTGGTTCAAGCATATCTATGTTTACAGTCACTTATAGGCCCAGTTCACATCTAAAACTAGACATCAACTGAAACTGATTTTTGGCGTTCCCGTTTACATGTTTACGGAAGAATATTTAATAATGATTGTTGAGCCTTCATTTCCATTAAGTACGTAAACAAACCAAAAAATCGATAGAAGAGCTCAGTGAATTGCCGCGAAAGCATCCCGCGTGTTCTCCGCCGTCGAAAACATATGTGTGCAAAGTTTCAGTTGTACAAATGTACTTACTTTGGGTTTTAGATATATATCAGGTCATTCCAAAAGTAAATTCGTTTTTTTTCAAACGGGCGCCACATTTGATGGAATAAAGTTTTCTTGGAGCTCTTGGCAGCATTCAAGCATTTCATTTTCTTTCCAAATCGAAATGGTTGCAGCATAATCATTGAGTTCTCGGAAAATCACTAAAATTTGCGACCCATGCTTTTTGTGATGGTCAAGTTTTACAATTTTTCTAAACTTGTATATCAATTCTCCGAAGGGGTCCAAGTAACGATAGAGCAAACCTTATAGGATACAGCACAACTTTTCCTTCTTCATAGCTCGCCATAATTTCCCGAAGATTTCTTTTAATCAAAACCCTCAAATTTCGACAGGCCTACAACCATAAACGCATCAAACATCAATAATTATTGGAATTTGAGGCTTTCAAGATGGTCACATGATTCTTCATTCTAATTTTACATAGAAATGAGATTGCGGACTCGAAACATCAAATTTCGAGTTTCTCGGATACAGCCTGGGACGGGTCCAAAAACATAAGATGCTTTTGTCCCCGAAGACTCCACAAATTGGGAACAAAAACTCTCATCAGAAAGAGAAGGAAAAGCTGCATCGATTAGTACCCAAGCTGCATTCCCTCTGATGTTCTACGAGGATTTAGCTGACCAAGTTTGAAATTGTTGGCATCAGTTAAAATTTTATTGAAAAAGTATGACATGCTGTGGAAAGGAGGAAAAATGTTTTAAAATGCTGTATCGAATGCTATTATAAAACTTCATTTGATCAATGTGGCGCTACTCTGAAAAAAAAACAAATTACCTTTGCAATGGCTTAACATATAAGATTTTGAGTTTTAAAAGAACTAAGGAGCAATAATTTATCTGTCCTGCACCACGCTTATTCCCAAGAGATCTTTAGATGTGAGGTTGTAATCCTACGATGGAATGACGCAGTAGCACGGATGTCGTTTCACAGTTCATGTGAGCAATTCAAGTGCTTGCGTGATCACATGAATGTCAAATTGGCTTGCTCAGAAAGTGCAGAAAACAACCAGTAACATTTAGCTGTATCGCTGAAGTTTATCTGATGCTGCTCATCTTGCGGAAAGACATTGCATCGGAACATTTTATATTAGGTTGTTAATTGAGTTTTGCAATTGATTTCGTAACCTTTGGCTTTTTGATTTTGGGGCGCTTTTTTTTCAAAATTATGTGAAGTAGATTATGAGCTACAAACTTTGAAAAACCTCTTCCTTTTTGTGACAAAGATAAAGACCGAGCATTTTTCAAAAATCAGTGAAACTCGGGGATTTCTGGGAAAATACAAAAATGAAGACCTTCGCAATCAGAGCGTGCACAACGATCCGAAATTGTTAAGATTTGGAAGAGTGACATATTTTACTCGAAAAAGAACAAGAAAAAAGTTAAGAAGAAGAACGACTACCTGGCGAAGTTGAAGGAATCGCTGTACGCAAGGCTGCAAAGCGGCAACCGACGATGTCTAAGAAAACAGAATATCGAAGCCGAGACTTTGCATGATAGATTATATTACCAGTGCGTAACCTCTGCTTCGCAGAGGCTCGCACACCTGGCCCTACTTTCTGTATAGCTTACTCATTCCGGCACAATAATGACATTGAAACTCACCGCGCTATGTAGGCTATCACGAATGATTCGTAAAAAGCTACTCATTCCTAGAGGTTTTTCGTGTGAAGTCGGTGTTTTCGCGTAAATGAGATTATTCGCAGAAGAACAGATGCAAATTTCAGTAGGTTTTTGGAACTTTTATGGTTTGGCAGGCAATAAGGACAACGAACATCGTGGGCTACATCTCTGTGCAAGAATCTTCTCAGATGATTAGGTAAATTTTTGGCAAACTGAACATTTAGCAACTAACTCTTTTTGGCGCCATTTCAGTAAAGTAGCAGCTTTAATTCAGTTTTCCGGGCTAAAGTCTTTGACTTCCACATTAGCCTGTCAAACATATTCATGACATCGCATAGTGGTACAGACCCAATTCTGCTGGTCAGAACAGGTAGATCCGTTTGGCGCGCAATCTCTGAGGGATCCACTCAACGAATCTACTCGTGCTTTTGCATGTTCCGAGTCAAGCGTGGGGATGGCATGCAACACCGGGGGGGGGGGGGTCGTATTGAGAAATCAGGGGGGGGGCGTTATCAAGGCGTCTGCATAACAGATAGTCGTTTACAATGTCAGATAGACCCGCCATGCAAAATACTAGCACATTGATGTTTGACCCATTATCGTATACGACAGTAAGCATAATTAAAGATCTATAAAGCATAAGAGCATCGTTTTGTAATTAGCAAGTGAAATAACCCCAGTGGTCCAAGTTTCAGCGAATTCTGAAGTTTCCAAATACATGACCACCTAAGTGAGATGGTCTTTTTCAAAACTGTTACTATGTTTCAAAAGTAAGTTAACTACTTCGTTTTGCGCTTAATACGAAAATATATACAAATATATACAAATATGCTATTTCTTTGCTCACAATAGGAATCCCACTTCGAATAACATTTAAATTAAGGAATTAAGAGCAAGCCAAAATCTCCTTCGTTCCATTTTTCGTTTTCAGTATCTCAGGGGTAAAGAAGACTAATCGGGCTCAAATCACTATTATGTAGATTACGAGGCTTAGGCTATCGAATATATACATTCTTGTCGCCTTACCTTGCGATTCACGTAGTAGCGCAGACCTAGCATGTTACCGTATCCCAATATTTTTGCAGTATTTTATCAGGAGTACCACCGAATGATGTGATGGTTTAATCATAATTACATCGTGGTAAACATGATCATCTTCTTACGGCCACTCAGTTCAATCGGTCATACAAAATTATGAAACAAGCAAATAAAGGGCCAGGCATACTTCACGCGATTTTAGTCGCGACGCGACTTGGCAATATTCCAACTGTCCACAACTCACTGTAGGCACATTTTATATATACAGAAGATAGGCCTGTTTATCAATCTACGTAAGTTATACACACTATGCATGTGCAGTTTGCTAGTGTTGAATCTGAAGACTTCTGGCGAATTGCCAAATCGCGTCGCGACAGAAATCGCGTGAAGTATGCCCGGCCCTTAAGCAGCATGTTACCATGATTGTTCCATGGTCGTTTCATTCTAAACCAAACTACGAAGTTTCACACAGGTTAACATCATTGCTTTGTTATCAAATAGAGTAATGAAAATAGCAGTTCATTTCATGAGACGCAGACATGAAACCATCATATCATCCTTTGAAATGAAAAAGTACAACTGACCACTTTTTCATTTGAAACCGTTAAGAGGGGTGAGAAAGATCATTCTGAAAGTTACCGTGAGGAGGCTCTTTTGTTTACAGCTTAAATAAGGTTATGGAAGAAAGCAAAGATGAAGACCGAACTGCAAATTTGGTACAGTGCAATAAAGCGGTCAAGCATAAGATTGAATGGAAGTTCAATCCCCTTCAATGGCATCGCTTTGCTAAATCTAAAATTGAGCAAAAACTTGCCCATCTCCAGCATTTCCAATTGAACTCGTGATTTCATTGAAAGGATGATGTAAAGATGCTGGTTATCTTGTATTACGAGAATTTAGTCGAAATGATGGTTCCGACCAAATTACTAGCACTCCAGTATTTTACATTTGCATAGGTAAGTAATCGATTATATCTTGCTCTTGAAGAAACGTTTTCGTATGAAATTTGAGCTATGTAAAGACGAAGGTTAAGCGGTAACAACGATTTGAAAAACGCAGCTATTTGATCTGTGTGAAGGTAAGTTAATGGGGCGTGGCAACGCCCCTAAAAAGCTATGGCAGCCACAGCTTTTTAGGGTTGGTGCCACACCCCATCAACTACAAAAAAACATTTTTAGCGAACGTTATTTATATGACTCGATAACCTAGACCTCGTAGATTTCATAGGAGTGATTTCAGCCTGATTCGTTTTCTTAGCTCTGAGTAATATTTGGTGAAAGCACAACCATTAAAAGCGAAAAATAGAAGAACAGGATTTTGGTTGGCTTCTAATTCCAAAGCTAGGAGCTCTTTTGAAGCGACATTTCTGAAGTGGCAGAAGGAGTAGTGCTTTGCCTTGAGTGCACAAACAGCTAGCTACTTCACCTTTGAAACAAAGTTAGTCATGCTGGAAAATGGGGATTTCACTTAGGTGCCCAGTACCTTGAAACTTCAGAATTCGCTCAAACATTGTCTACAGGGGTTAATTGACATACTAGTTATGGATGTGTCGCCCGCTAACTTTGACAGAGCCTTCAAGTAATGCTATCTTAGGTATATAGTTTAGGGGGTCTTGTTGAGACAGCAATAAGAGGGGGGTCGTAACAAGCCTCGTGTGCCACACCTCTTGCTTGACCCTGTGCATGTTGGACTTTCATAAAGTAGCATGCGCTATGCAAAGCTTGGTCTTAGAACGCTGGGTGGAACACGCTCTAGGAATTTCGTAACAGACGGACACACACACACACACACACACACACACACACACACACACACACACACACACACACACACACACACACACACACACACACACACACACACACACACACACACACACACACACACACACACACACACACACACAGCACGTGAACAACCCTTAGCCCTTACAAGGTCTTGATCCTTCCCACAGTTGTCTATGTCACAGACTGCCTCATAGTCACAGACTCAAAGTCTTTTCACAGATCCCTCACAGCGATTCGCAGGCTCTTTGGATCATGTATACTTAGCATATATTAGTGTGTTTCATTATCGTACGCGCTTGAGTTGTTACTTGCTTCTTACAAGGGAGGTTTGTTTGGTCGAAGTGGCCTTTTCACACGAAATTGGTAAGACTTCAAAGAGCATTGGCTAATTCCAAATCTGTCTTCCTTATTTGCCGAGTGCCTCTAGACGTCGAGTTATTAGCGTTTTTAAATTGGAAAATTGAATGCATGATTAGCACAAAATTCGTCAGAATTGCTCAAATGGTCCAGTGTTACTTATCAGAGCACTCCATTTGAACAATACCTTCTGTCCAAAATACTCATAATTGGAATTGTTTAGTGCGAGCGCTGAAAAGAGCGTAAAATTTGATTTTACTGAGATTACGCGTTCATTTTTCGCACCAAGAAAATGTTCAAATCTTGGCATGCAGAGGCAGTTTTGGAATTAGCGTTCGATGCTCTTTAAAGTGGGACTAATCGGACCTCCCTTAGTAATGGAGTTAGTAATAAAGTTTAGTTACCAAGTTTGAGGTGTGCTCGCTGTGCGCAAAGACCCGTGGCAGCCAATCAATCGATCACAGTGCACTCACCGATCATACACATGGTGCGTCTGAACGTCAAAGGAGCAGACGAAAGGTCAACTGCAAACCTTTTCGAGGCTTCTACCCACATGTTCAAAGCATTCTTAAATCTTTATTGATATGATGACAAAGCAATATTGTCCATAAAAGGACCACAATTAGATACAAGCCATGAATTAGGTGGGTAATCGTAAGTTTTGCCGATTTTGTGAAATGTTGCCATCTGAGAACACTCATTATGCAGATATACATTCTACTCCCAAATGGTACATACCATTAAATATACATCATAATAAATCATCCATTATATTAAAGCTCAAATCTGTACATTTCATTTCAAATTCTGAAATTCTAGCAAAATTAGGTTTGTTTAAGACTGCTTGAGCGAGTTACCTTTGTAGCATTTTTATCGTCAACTGGAACATAACCCGTCATGATCACTCTGCTGCTATCGTACTCTATGCTTGCATTTGCTGATGAAGTTTCAAGTGCAGTCTTTGTCAATGATGTATCTTGCCGAACATTCGCGAGTCTAGGTTGAGCATTTTGCTTCATGAACTCGTCCATCGTTTGCTGGAACTCTTTTGGCGGATACTTGTCGAAAGTTATTGCTTCTTTTCTTCCAACTTTTCCTGCTGTTCCCTGCGAATGGCTTTTTCCTGCTGATTTTCTTTTTCGCCTTCCAACCTTTTCTGCCGATCCTTTCGAGTCGGTTTTCTCTGCCGATTTGCTGCCTTTCCCAGTTTTCTCCGCTGACTCTTTTGAACCAGACTTTCTTGTTTTCTTCTTGCGTCGCTTTTTAATCTTCTCCTTTGATCCCTTCGATCTAAACTTTCTTGCTTTATTTTTGATCTTCTTTCCAATTTTCTGTGCTGGCCCTTTCGAGCTACTCTTTTTCGTCGACTTCCTTCCTCGCTTTCGAATCTTCTCTGCTGACCCTTTTGCACTGGCCTTTTCTGCCGAACCACCACTTTTCTTCCCAGTTTTCTCTGCTGACTTTGATCCAGTACTCTCTGATGATTTCTTTCCTTGGTTGCCTGCCGAACCAAAGGATCGATGCATCTCAGCCGACTTACCGCTTTGCACTCTAATTGCTCCCTGAGAGCTTGTCAACTTGGTCTTTTCGGCTGAGTTCTTGCTTCCAGTTTTTTCCGTCGAACCTCCCTGGACCGTCCCCGTTGATTCCGCTGATGAAGTCATTTTTATCTGAAATAGATTTATTTATGACAAAAAAATCACCTACACAGACCCTTACCTCCTCATTACTCCCAAGCATTTCTTTCGAGCCTGTTGACTTGATATTTTCAGCCGACTTCTTCTCAATTTTGTTGGCCCCATCTTTGCTTTCGGCCGATATTGCAGTTTTCGTTTCAGACGCTTCCTTCTTTTGTCCAACAGCATCTTTTATTAGGGATGCATCCTTCTTCCTCTTCGCCATCAACAACCTATTTCTAGTTTTGATTTTTCCTAGTGATTTTTTGCCTATTTTCGGCGATCTTCTCTCTGGAGGTACGACCTCCTCTGCCGATCTTGGAGGTTCAGACACTTTATCGTCGCTCTGCTTCTTCTCTGCCGTAGGTTTCTTAGAAATCAATGCTGTTGTCGTCACCTTTTCAAGTGGTCTTTGATCTTCTTTTGCTAATCCTTTTTCCTTCTTTTCGTCAAATACATACTCTTTATCCCGAGCAGCCAAGCCGGCTGGTTCTTGCTTGTTATCCATCGATTGTTCTTTTGCAGTGAAATCTGTATCAACTCTTCTTGGTGGTGTAATAGCAATAGGCGATGACTTCAAGATTCTTTTGGTAATGGGCGACGATGTCTGGACTTTTGCCTGTGGAATGTCTGCTATCACTTTCACTGAATATATTTCTTGGGCGCCATGCTCAGAATCAGTAGCGGTTGTCAGAGCAGCTTCTGTCTGCTCCTTGGGTGTCGGTTCGCTTGACCCAAGAGAAGTTACTACCATTGGCTCACTGGATCCGCCATTCTCGGTAGATGCCTAAAATTAGTAGGCAATGAGCTTGTTCAGCAACATAGCAATTACAACTGTTTTGGACAACCAATGGCAGCACATTCTTTTCTCCTATTACTGCCGTTGGCTGCCGCACCCCTCAGTACGCCCTTATTGTGGGGAGTGATGATGTACTGGATGGAAGGTGGTCTATCCAGCTGGTGAAGCAAATCGCTTGCCCTTAAAACTCGGAAGAAAAATCACGCAGACGTTTTCCAATGTGATATGTACTCCTAATCTCTCAATGGTCAAAAACTGACTGAATATGAATATTGCTGATTTGGACAGCTTGTTGGTAAGCAGTAAGCGAATTCAGACACACCTTGAGAAACGCTATCCAAACAAAAGCCACGGTAGTTTTATGTTTGTCGATTAACCGTTCTTGAGTTGCTTTACGCACAAATAATGCTCACCTTAGTCTTTGCAGTTTCAGCAGAGGAAGGGCCAGTCTTTACTGTTTCAGCTGATGATGCGCCAGATTTTACAGTTTCAGCTGATGATGTGCTGGTCTTTGCAGTTTCAGCTGATGGCTCGCTTTCTCCCTGGAATGTATCAATATAAACTTCAGCTATTCATGATGATAAGCGACACCTTCTTTCTTCCTTCTTCTTCTTCAGTGGATATGATTCCTCCCATGTGAGGTGAATGTTCGTTAAAAATGAGAGGTAATTTTGAAAGGAGTTCTTATATAGTGAGTCGGGATCGTGATTTGTAAACACTTTATCTTATTATGCAACCGCTATGATCAACTAAGGGGTGTAGGACGTTTCGCACGACCGTAATGTTTTCCAAACGGGATCACCGCCGCGCGCGATACACCCTGCGGCGACTTTTGCCTAAGCAAAACGGGGGAGGAAAGATTTGCGGCGGGCGTGACACGTTAAGACAAGTCAAAATCAGGATGACGGTGGAGATCGTCCTTGCGAAAAGACCGTCTCCCCCAACAAAGCCCTTCAAAGCAGGAACCTTGCTTCAAAATATGGATTAACTGAGATGCCCGGATTTGCTCGGCCCTGTCAGCATATGATATAGGTCACCATTCGTGTTCCTTTATTCTACGCAGCAGGGCGCGGCAGCCTGCTTCGTGCGCTGCGTAGCCGCAGCCTGCCGCGTTGGGCGTGCGCCGCAACACGCAGCGTACCAGCTGCAGTCGCAGTGAAAAGACGCTATGGCAGCACAGTTTCGCAGTTTATCGATGTACCTCTAGATCTGCTGCACGTTCGTGTTCTTCGAGAGTATTTCTTCAGAGTTTGCAATCCACTTCTTTTACCTTTCCTCATCGTCGATCATATGACTTCATTCATGTTTTGATTTTGTGTGCGCCCTCGATTCCACGAAATTTATCTCGCTCCAGTTTTTGTTATCATCAATGGCTTCAGTGCTCGCTTCTTTGTTTATTTTTACTCATGAGGTACTAGATTTTTGTCCTTTCACCGATCCTTTCATCGAGCGATGTATTTGTATAACGAACTTTTACCAACAATAAAATACTAAAATTAGATCATGCAACTGTGCAAAATCACACTTTCAAAATGACTGAAGAAACATTCGATCAACGATGAAACAAGTTTGAAGAGAAAAAAGATTGCAAATTCCGAGGGAATATTCTTGGAGAACACGAACGAGCAGCGGATATAGAAATACATTGATAAACAGCCTGTGCTGCATTAAGCGTATTCTCACTGCGACTGCAGTGAGACTACGTTCCTGCTGCAGCGCAGGCCGCAGGACGCAGCAGGCAGCAGCGTTCTGCGACGTAGCCAGAAGGAACACCTCGTATTCGTGTGCAACATTTTCTTGTCCCTGTCTCAATTCACAGGCCAGTACTCCGCCTCTGCTATGTTTTGATGATAGCATGCTCACTTATCTCTTTGTACCAGCTCCCAGCTCCTCAGGGCAGACTTTGCGAAAAATCGATAAATCGATTAATATAACGTATTCCTCAAAATCATTGTTTTCGTCATCAGCATGCTCGCATTTACCTGTGCCTAGTCTCAGCCTAGCTCAAACTTTGCGAAAGAAGAGAAAAGATCGTTAAAAGTAACAGATCCTAAAAATCAATAATGTTTTTTTAATCAGCATACCTTAAGTGTGCTAACTCCCAGCCCTGTAGCTCAAACTTCACAAAAAATTGATCGAAACGATAAAAGTAGGTAATCAATAATGCTAGAAACTAATACTGTACTCGTAATCACCAGCTCACTTACCCCCTGTGAAAACTTTTAGCCCCGTAGCTTAAACTTTGCAACGAATGATAAAATCGATACTGGTAATTGAAAGTGGTCCATGACAGCCACCCCGAACTGTATTTGTGCGAAAGTTTTTCATTCGCATACGGACAAACATACAGGCAGACAGAGACACAGGCAGACGAATATAGCTTTATTCAATTAGATTTTGGAGGCAACTGCCATACATCAATCTATCAAAAGGAGTGTTTTGCAGCTAGAAAATTTGGAGGTGTTGCAAAAACTTCTGATAACTAGTGGCTATATGCTATTGTGTCTGGTGCATATTAGTCAGCTATGCTCTTTGAGTGACGATTCAGTTACACCTGGTAACAAAATTCAGACACCTAGATTGGCATATTTTTCTTAAATTACTCGTAGTTAGAGTTAACCAAAAAATTTCTTTCGCTTGCATTTCTAGTTCCAAAAACTTTCTCGCGCGAAAGTTTCTTTATCTATTTGGGTCAAGCGTGTTTCGTTCGCTTCGTGACTCGTCTCACATGACCTCGTAATGTTGCAATTCCTAGTTTGTACTGCTTTTCTACTGACCGTTGACGCTGTCGTTCGATGGGGTAAGTTTTGTAAAAAACCTGACGACGTTTAGTTATGGAATGGTTTATCGTCCTAATGTCTTTGCTCATATTGCACTCCTACTTAGTAACGTTAATCAAATTATCGAAAAGCATAAGATTTGCCGCACCTTTAGTCATTTTCAATAAACACAGTTCCTCGTCACCGAGTAATTAAAAATCACCTGTATGTCTCACAAAAACCAAATGCAATCTTCAATATCCTTTTATCTGCATATATTTTAATATTTCAGAAGAACGCACTCTCAAATGTGATGCCGATGACTGCCAACTTGCGATACGAAATAACACCTTCAAAGCGGCTGAATGTACATTAAACGGTGGTTCTGCCTCAATTTACCAACTTTTTGTCTTTTTTAATTATGTAACTGTTGCAGCTGATTCTCGACACATATGCAACATCGAATGTGAAGGTGCGGATCGTGATTCAGTCATTTCGAAGAGTCCCACAACGAATCGACGCTGTATAAGGTGCTCAATCCACTAAAATTACAAAACTGCTGACAGATTTCTAAAGCAGAATTTGCCTCAGCTTTTTCTTTTATTCTTAAAGAAAGGGGAACGGGGTGAAGTAATGTTTTAAATCCTTTTTTGTTTTGTTTTGTTCTCACAAAAATGTTATGAGAAATCCTTTACTTGTGGTATAAAATATATTTCATTTTATATACATTCTCACCAAATATTTATTTAATTTACTTTATTCAACAAAAACTTTGATCTCTCCACTCATTCGCCGTCTATTTTCTCCTGGAATCTACTATTCCCCATCTAGGTTCTTCACGTATAACACACAGCGGAATCCTGATGGTTGGCTCATGTGGCGAGAAGGTGCATGTGCAAAAGAGACGATTGTCCTGCAAGTGCACTGTGGATTCCCAATAACAGATTAATGTGAACTGTTGCAATAATAAACGACTATACATATGTTTGTGTTATGTTTTTTTTGAAGTTCAGCTTTACTTATTAAAGGATGAGTGCTGATGAGACTACGGTACAGCTTTACTTATTAAAGGATGAATGCTAATGAGATTACGGTACGTATCATAAATGAAAGCCGAATGCAATCCTTCCTTGTAAACTCTCAACCTTCTTTTTGCGGGTATTACAATCAGTTTTCTTCATGGAACCTTGATCCCTAAATGGATCATCCCACTGTTGAGTTTTCTTTGCTTCTGATTTTGGAGTGTTGATGAAATTTGTCACTCAAGTTGAGATATGAATATGGAATGTGCAAATTTTTTTTATTGAAAACACTTTTGAAAAACTCACATCCTAGTCCAAAGTTGATTAGATATAATCAGAAAACCTTCCATAAAAAACTTGTACGGATTTTCTGTTGCTGACAATACCGCTGAACTGAATTCCTACAAATTCTTAGTGGTTCTCCTCCCTATCGGTATACTCTCACATAATGGAAAACTCTGTGAAATCAACTTTCGTGAAGTGTTAGAGTTAAAAAGTTGAGGCATCCAATGTTATCCGTACACGAAATGCGGATTCTATAAAAGTACATCAGTTTCACTGTCATGGAAATACTCTTAAACCGGTTTGCTTAACCTTAATTCGCAATTCTAGCGTAGGTAAGGGAAAGCTTGATTTGTTAACCTGATCCGTTGATGTCTCACTTGATAGACTGTCAGATCACATCACTTTTACTGTCTCTCTTCTGGGTGTGTTTTGAAGTTTCTTTAGGGTTGAAAAAAATCGAGGTTTTTTGAGACATTGCAAACCTTCAAATTAATACTGAAATAAACATTTGCAGTCAACTGCGAAAAATACCAGTATTTTGCAATGTTTATCGAATTTCTCTTCTGTTGCGAAAAAACGCTATTATTTTACATGGATCTCGTGATACTATCGTTGTTTCAACATCAAAAGCGGTCCCCTATAGAGCTGAAAGTGAATAGAGTTGATCATAAGTGATCGTTCAAAGCGCATTATTATGCAGAAACAATACCGGTGTAATTTAGCGCCGAATTTCTTTGTACAAATGGAAATTTTCGTGATGGCCATCTAACTCAATTCAATACGCTCAAAATAGACTCTTGCAAATACTAGCATGAAAAAACTTGCAGATATCCGTCAACATTTCATTCACATAGACATTCGACAATATTTCGAAATCTCTGAGCTTCTTCAGAGTATTTATTCCTTCATAAGCATTCACTTCTGCTCGAGTATTATATATGCCCATTTCATTTTGAGGCTCGTTGAATGTTTGTTTTCCTCATAAGCGACAGTCGTAATTTGAAGTTGCGGGAAAAACTGCACCTTATAATTTCGTTAATTGTTTGTTTGCTAACACAAGGTCTAAGTCAGGGCTCGGCACGAGCTGGCACCAGGGAAATTTCAAAACGAAGTCCCGTTTGATATCGAAAATTTCGTACGAAGTCCCTTTTGACCTGTTTTGAAAACCCGTCATCATTTTTATATTATGTAAAAAATGTAGTAATGTTTTTATGCATTTCTGATTTCATGAAAGAACTTTTCACAGCTTTCTGGGCTTTTTAAGTGGTCGAATCACATCTTGAGAAGCAGAAAAAGCCGATTTTTCGATTGCGGAGCGGACCGAGTGGTTTTCAAATTGCTATAAAACGCTGAAAAGAGAACATTATGAAACTGTTTCTTCTCCGCATGTAGTCTTTTACAGTGTAGATACATTTTATGTAAAAAAGTATGAAAACTCATGTGAGCAAAGTGTCGGTGCCAGCTCAGCTGGCACCCGGCTGGCACGGTGCCAGCTAATTCAGAAAAAAGTTCGGCACAGCTTTCATTCACATAAGTTTTCATAAATTTTTGGCCCATAGTTCCGGTCCACCAACGCGCATGCACACACCGAATTTGGTGTCATACTATTGCGTTTTGGCTGAAAACAACGTCTTTGTTTGTTGATGGACAGCTTGCCAATGGCATGCCGGCGGCATGCCGGCGGCATTTTTGCGGCAGTTCTCCGCCTCGGCCCGTGAAGAAACGATATTCCCTTTGTTTTCCGCCCTGAAAACGATATCCAGCTTGACCCGGTGCCAGCTGTGCTGAGCCCTGCTCTAAGTCATTTAGTAAAAGTGAAATCAAGTTTCTTTGCTTCCCGATGACCAGATCAGCGAGCAAAAAGACATGCGTAAGCCAAAGCAACATTTTCTCAATTCTAGATAGCATCGCACTCTGATATTGTTTTCTCCTACACCCTTCTCCACGCTATGATTAGCGTCTTCATTTGTTTTCTACCAGTCCTTGTTCACGGCGCATATAAGCCTTCAGATATAGGAAAGGACACTTCCAATTTGGAGAGTCAGTGAGTTGCTATTCAAACTACTAAAATTGATTTTAGAGCTTGATTAACTATTAGCCTCTCCCAAAAGTAAACCCCTTTTTGAATAAATCAAACTTGTTTTTCCAAAATACTTAGGGTATCATTCGCTAGAGTAAGCAAAAAAAATCTACAAAGGTGACATTGTGCGTTTTCGGGCTAATATTGGCTTTTGATTTCGGGTCCCAAAGGAATCTAGCGAATGCCTTTATGAATACTATTATGTGTCAATTAAATGAGAACCAAGCTGGAGGTCCGCAGAATTTTCTGGAAGGAGATCCATTTTCAGGATAGTTGAGAAATTTGATTTTCGGCTCCAGATTTCGACTGGGTTACGACTTGGGCGGATTTTTAATATTCATTTTGTAGAGTTTACTTTACTCTATCGAGTTGTTTCCTAAAATGGTACCCTAAGGCGCTAGAATCGCAAAATCAATTCGATGTTTTTGAAAAGAATTTTGTTTTTCATCTAATACAGTCATTTTTACGATAACTCTCAATGTTTAAGTCCCCAAGCATAGTGTTTGTTTGAAAAAAAAATTAGCAGATGGACTTGAGATTGTCCAGTGAAAACTCGAGAACTAAATATTTGGAATTTACGGGCACATGAGATTGTCCAGTGAAAACTAGAGAACTAAATATTTGGAATCCACGGGCACATCCATCCAGATTAAATGATATATAGAAGCTAATTTATTCACCTCAGCTGAGCTCCAACTACCCAAAAAGTTTCCAGAAATCTCGGTCGCGCACAACAAGAACTTATGAAAGGTTGTGAGGATATCGAGGGAATAGAGCTAGCTCTCTGCATTGTGGATCGTTACGCTTCGGATCTGCAGACGAAACAAAATGAACGCTTGACTCGACTAAAGAGCATGGGTGAGAAGTTAAGATTTGGTCAGAGGTCTCGAAAAAGTGTTTTCAGCGGTAACGAGGAAAGATGAGAGCGATTTTTTCAAGAACGACGAGCCCATTAAAGGTGACGAAAAGTTGCTAAGATTAGAAATTCTATAAATTCAAGTTATCCTGTTTTAGGTATGATTAATAGAAAAGGAGAAAATGCCTTCGGAAGACAAAGGCAGAAGTGGAGAAAACAGCAGTTTGGAGTTAATTTTTCAAATGCCTACCGTACAAGAAGACGACACAATTACGACAGCAGTTTGTTGGAACGATAAAAATTTATTGAATTATTCACTTTGTTGTCAGCATTCAATCGATGAGATTTTTTCGAAAACGAGCTCCTTTTTATGATGTTCCTTCTCCATTGCTTTCGTTTGATCTGCGCTGTAGATGAAGCAGACAGTGGCTGTCAACAATGAGCAGAACAGCAGTGCACCATAATGATAGATGGATAAGTATGGACTGGTGAACATCAAGATTGCTCCAGCGAAGGCCTAGAAAATTTCTATTGAAAGAGAGCAAAAAATATAGCCTCAATAGCCTTTTAAGGCCTCTCATGGCTACTTTGAGAATCAAAAAAACAAGGAGGTTCCTTTTTGTAGATATTTATGACTACCTATCGTCTATGAAATGTGAGATTGTATTGTCTGGGTAAAAATTATGCTATCATGCAATCCCACCTGGTAGAATTTTGAGATAGCATACGCTTGTGCTCGCTGATCTGGGATTGCCAGGGCACAAATGACGTTCCTGACGTTGTTTACGCATGAATCTCCTAGCCCAATCAAGAAGGCTATGAATATCATCAATGGCATACTAAAATAACATTTCAAAAACGTAGTTTTTCTAGATCTTCATACTCTTCATACTTGGATTCCATTAGCCAAGCCGGAGCATCTGTGTAACCCACAGTGGCCCAAGCGGGCACCGAAGCCACCAATACGACTATCAGAGTTGTGGTAAGAATAAGAGCACAGTACATAGTCGGTTTCAAGCCAAAATTCTTTATTCGCTTTGACATAAGGCTTATGATCACTCCCACTGAAACCCAGAAATTGCTCGTAGGAGCAGCGACAACGTCCAGGCAAGTCTGGACACATGGGGATCTCACGTGGATAGTAATTTTGGGGCCCTAACTAAGCCACTGCCCAACCGGCAGCTCAGGTAGTGCTCTAACGGCTGAGATATTCCCCGCGAAACTGGACTCCGCGATCGTATTCCGCATGGATTCATGGCGCAAAGCGTGGATCCTGACGCGAAACTGCCATGAATCCATGCGAATACGATTGCGGGGTCCAGCTTCGAGGGGAATATCTCAGCCATCAGAGCACTACCTGCGCTGCCGCTTGGGCAGTGCCTTAGTTAGGGCCCTAAACATACATTCCACGTAAAATCCCCGTAGGTAAATCTGTCTGGACGCTGCCTTTGAAGGCAGCTACACCCAAAATTTGAGTTACCGAATTTCCAAGATCTTTCTACATCGTGTATATACTGGGCCCAGAAGAAGACCAACTGCGTTGGTCCCGTCTCCCAATGTTGCTCCTGAGCGGAGAAAACCCCCCTCAATTTTCTTTCATGCCGCCCCTTTTCTTTCGCTCCGCCTCCTCCAGACGAATCCATAACAGCGTGAGCTGCAATTGCAGTTGCAGTTGCTGTTGCAACATCTGTTGCATTTGTTTTGGGTGTACGCTGCCTTTAAGAAAGTTCTATTGTAGGAAACTCTGCCTGCGTGTTCATTTGACTCGAAATGTGCAATTCAAATGCATGATTTGTGCCAGATGTCCACACCTGCAGAGCCTAGTGGCTTTTTGATACCCTCCAACCAATACTTCATAGTGCTCACTTGTAATTTCTCCAGCACCAACAGTGAAACTGTATATGGCGGGCAGATAAATTTGATTCGACAGTGATTTGGAAAACACTAGAGTCGTTGGATAGACACAGACCCAGAATATAGTATAGAAACCATTATGAAAGAAGAGCGGTGTGAGAGTGATCATCCTTTTGTCCATGAAAGTTAGCAACACTTGGTCTGCAAATTTAATTTGAATTTTTGCACTGTTTTCTCCAAAAGGTCCATTTTTCTTACCCAACTCCAGCTTGAAGGTTTTCCTCATCTTGTTATATTTGCCTTCAATACAGCTCGTAACTTCACGAGAAGGCGAAAGAGCAAAAATCAGGTTTGCACAAAGCGTGACCGCTGCGAACATTTCATACATCATTTTGATTTCTGTGTCAGAAAATTGCCGGTAGCCGATTGGTATATGTTCAGTGATGTTCGGGTTGACGACGAAGTTGACCACATCGCGATTTAGGGAGAAAATTATTCCAAGAATACCAGATCCCACAATCATGCTTAAATTGATTTCGGATTGAATACGATTTTTCGAAAAGGCTGCACTATTCGGAAATAACCATAAACATGCGATCGACCAAGCAATTGCAGAGTTCTGCTCGATAGTCTTCCTAGTGGAGTGGGAAGTCAAATAAGCTCCATGTCCAGCATAAAACACTGAAATAGTTCTTCGCAGCCACTGCGGTACGACTTATTGTTAGCTTTTAGAAACTCACGCGCAAAACCAATTCCTAATATTATGCAAGAAATATAGTAATAGTAACTATTCAAATACAGAAAGCCCATCTGATATAGCGTATAGCAGACAGAACCCAGAAAAAGGGTCCATTTCGGAGGTAAGATTGTGAGTATTGATGGTGCAAATAAGCAGGCTATCATATAAGCAGCACAACATGTAGCTTGCCTGAAACTATTTATATTACAAGTGGTAATGCATCAAAAAATAATGGCCGACCCATAGTAACCGGCATATTTGTCTATTCTCGTTGGATCACGACCATTTACGGAGTGTAAAACTGACTCAGCCACGAACGACTGAAAATATTGTTATTGATATTCTTTCAAAAAATACCTAACAGTCTTCAACACAGTTTATTCATGAATATCTACTGCAAGTGCCTTTAGTGATTAATTCCAAATTTGAAACTGCTTTAACAGGCCGTAAAGCAGCAAAATTGCGATTACTCAAATCGTTAGGCCTCAAATCCTCTCATCATTTGGGGATAGCCATAGTGGATAAGGACTATCGGGTCGATACAAAGTGCACCCGAAGAAAAGAGATCCTATCAAGGATCTTCACAAAAAAACCAAATTGCATACATTTTTGCCGCAGATAAGATAAATGTTGTGCTCTAAGATACATTTCACGATTTGTTTCAGAACATTAAGAAGTTGAATAAAATTCAAAAACATGTAACGTAGACTTTTCTTGGGTAGAAAGAGAAAATCATAAGCAAAATTGGAAAAATAGCTAACTTTAGATCTAGACGCTTTAGTAACTTTAACATCCAAAATTCATAAGAACTGCTTGCTAAGTTCTCCTATTGTCCACTTGTATCGTTGCAATATGCCAACAAAAATTTTTGATTCAAGCTTTTTGGGAGAGTTTTTCGTTGTTTAACATGTCAAATCAAAAAGTTGATAGAGTTTAATGATGATTCTTGAAAAATTTGTTGCACTTATGCATCGCCCAATACATCCATTCTAAACCTATTACGGACCTTGATCAAAGCGATTCCGCTAGCACGCTATGCACCTCAGTGGCTTCGTTACATGTACAAAGCAAAGAAATCCTCTACCTGAGTATCATATCCTGTCATGATGCACATTTGACCTAGTCCAAGCAGGACTATGCAGAACAGTTCGAAGAAACTCGACGAAGGCATAATTACTCAAGATGTAGTACGCTGATTGTAGGTGCGTACTTCTGGATAGGCAACAACGTGCCTTAGTAAATGTGTGTTGTTGAGATCGCTTTATTGTAGATAGCTTCTTATAACGAGCTAATAAAAATATGAGCATCCGAAGAAGGGCCTAGTTGTCATAGTTCTGTAGGATAACTTTGTGTAGACTGGATATGGATACTTTTCGATAAAGTTAGTTATGCTGCTAGCAAATTAAAAATTGGACCTGTCACTTCTCAGCGCGAAGTGCAGCAAAACTTACAAAAACACATAATGGACAGGGCTCGGTAAGGTGGCTTATAAACAAGTTGGATGTCGTTTTTGGGGCAAAAAGCAGAGGGTAAACTTCTTTGTGGCCGAAAAATAGCTTTTTCAGTCAACGTTTTGTTTTTTAGGGTTTTTTACGTTTATGGTTTAGGGTCAAAGGGGCGTCGTAAATTTAAAGAAAGTTTGGGGGACTTCGTTTTTTGCAATTTCTGAAAGCCACTCGTACCAAGTCTTATCATGAGAATATCATAGTCATAGCTGATACTGTTGAATTAACTATTAACTTAACGAACGCCAGACTTACCAGAAGCTAGATAAAATATCTTGAATTACGTGGTGTCTAAATTAGATAACCAGGAAGGGAGGATTATAAGTATTCAAATGACAATCCAGAGAGTTGAAATGTATTTTTCTGAACTTCTTCATTTATCTGCTCATAAAAGTCGAAATCGGACCTACGAAGGTGATGTTATATTTATGTTCGACCATTTTGTGATATGGTAGAACAATCTATTTGCGATACAAAAACTATAAGCCCAAGAAACAAATTATCTGCAAAACATAAATAAGATCGAAACTAGAACGTAAACATGAGTGTCAGCAAAAATAGAACAACAATGAACGATTTACAGTGAGATTGCACCCAGCAGAAATGGATAAATCCATTTTCAGAGAACTGTTCATGCGACTTACTTACTACACCACAAGTCAAATCGGACACGCATACAACTTCATTCGCATTCAAATCCTCGTTGAAAAGTCGGAGAGTAGAGTTTGCTTTCTGCAGGGACGAACAAATTCAGAACAACATACTGGGATTTCGTTGAAATACAATAAGATCCGAATTTTCAAAATGTACTACCCATCGGGCATATAAATCGCGTTCTGCACCGATTTTCAAAATTTTTAATTTACCATTTTTCACTTTCACATCAGCACTATTACATTCTGCACATAAAACAAAGAGTTTCATTATTTACTCATCTTTGATACTTCAATAGGAATTATTTAAAAAAGTGTAGGTTCTCCTCAAATATGCAATCAATTTTTTGTCATTTCCAACAATGATCAAATATTGGATCCCATAATTGGTCGGACTCGGACTGGATTACTATTTGATAAAGTGAAACTTTTCCAAAAGGTGTCCCTTAAATTTAGATTGTAGCAATATCTTTGCATTAATCAATTCCATCAAAACTCAAATTTTCTAGAAATGTCGCCTTCCCAAAAAGCATGCATGAACTACACACATTCGACATATAACTTGTCAAAAGTTTTTTTTTGAAAACGTAATTACTGCGCCCCTACTTCAAGCCACCAAATCGTCATCCCTCTCAAAAAAAATTCTAGGATTGCCGCTGACTTCCTTTAGTTTCAGTAATTTCGTAGTTCAATGATTTCGTATTCTTATACATTCTGGAGTACACCTGACACTTCTGAATCATCATTACACAAAGTTGCGGCAGCTATTGGCTATACATCTTGCCCAAGAACTGTTTGCTTGTGACAAACCACTCATCATGAAGTTGGTGACTCGGATACAACCGCATCCTCAAGTTTCACTTCAGAAGTAAAGCTCAATTGGCAAATATTTACGCTATAAGCCTTGTGCTTGCGATACAGGATGGAGGTTCTATTCAACCTTCTCCATGACATGGGAGCGGTGCCGTCAGTCCAAGCGACGCTTGACTACGTCCCTACGAAGACCGACGATACAAAGAGTCCAGTGCCGGAGTCTTCCCCAGATGTGTCGCCGAATCAGAAACAGCAAACACCCCTGCAAAACAAAGACAGCGACGAATATGAGGTGAAATCTAGTAAATTGTGCAGAATCTGTGATATATCTCTAGATCGAAGCGTTTTAGGCCCTCCCAGATCTCATCGCAAACCCTCCACCACCTCCACCTGGTGCTCCCGAAAAAGCAAAACGTAAGCATTTTTGTGCTATGGAAAATCTCGGTTTCATGAGCATTTTACAGCTACTGCAAAGTCTCCCATAAAACCCAAAACTCCCGCAGCCCCTATATTTCGTAAGGAAAGGTCCCGAGATTTGCAGCCATTTCTCAAAGCAGCACCGGTGGTGCGACCACCGACGGACACGGTCAGTATTAAAGGCGACTACGCTGACATATCGCTGAACCGTTACAGACGACCTTGGCTGATCCATTTGCACGCAATTATGACACCTTGATACCATTACCACCATCGGAAGCTGTATTCACCAAACGTGTGGAAGCCATACCACCGTCAAAAGGAGTGGTGTCTTCACGGTGATAAATTATGAAACAGTATTTTCAAATAGACATTCTGCTCATTACTAACAAAATTTGTAATCGAATAAAGACTAAAAAATTTGTTTTATTGTTCACGAGTTGCTGCACCCCAAGATCTGCGCCAAAGGCGCTTATCTGATGAAGTGAACTTGAAATTGACAACAAGGCTGAGTGAGCCAAATTCTGGCTCCCGTCGTCGCCAGTGTGAGAGTTCTAGCGATGTGGCAGGACCCTCCAAGGGCTCGCTGCTTCTCCAGGACCGTCGTGAGACAATATTCACTTAGCGCCTACTTCGCGCTCATGTCGCACACATCACGCAGGTTTCTGCCTTAGGCCCCGGGCAGACTTCACGCGATTTGATCGTCGCGACTGAATCGCGACGAGACAACTGTTACAACATCATTCCATGCCGATCAACTTGCATTCGGTTGTGATACTTTTCCAGTCCGAAATTTTTGAATGTGAAATAAAATGAATGGAAATCTTGGCGATTATATCGCGACGATTAAGTCGCGTGAAGTCTGTCCGGGGCCTTAAGGGGAAGGCAAACTTCACGCGATTTCAGTCGCGACGCGATTTGGCAATACTCCAGCTGTCCATAACACACAGTAAGCACATTTTAAATGACAGAAGATAAGGCATTTCTTATCAAACCACGCAACTCAAACACACCATGTGCAGTTCGCTAGTGTTAGATATGAATACTTCTGGCGAATTGCCAAGTCGCGTCGCGACTGAGATCGCGTGAAGTATGCCTGGCCCTTTAGATTCCACAGGACGATTCAGCCTTACGAATAGATAGTCTCGCATTTGAAACAGTGGCTCGGAAATTCGATTTGGACCTAAGTTGAGATTTAGCTAGGAAACCTGCTTATTTGGCCATTGTCCAAGTTCCAAATAAGACCTCCTGTAAATTGAGAAAACTGTACTCAAAGTGGTGAACGAAGGGCGATTCTGCATGCGCTTGAGCAATTTGCATGTTTCCCTTCACGCCTTAGGCCCCGGGCAGACTTCACGCGATTTGATCGTCGCGACTGAATCGCGAGGAGACAACTGTTACAACATCATTCCATGCAGATCAACTTGCATTTCGGTTGTGATACTTTTCCAGCCCGAAATTTTTGAATGTGAAATGAAAATGAATGGAAATCTTGGCGATTTGGTCGCGACGATTAAGTCGCGTGAAGTCTGACCGGGGCCTTAGCCCCGGACAGACTTCACGCGATTTGATCGTCGCGACTCAATCGCCGACATTTCCATTCATTTTCATTTCACATTCAAAAATTTCGGGCTGGAAAAGTATCACAACCGAAATGCAAGTTGATCGGCATGGAATGATGTTGTAACAGTTGTCTCGTCGCGATTCAGTCGCGACGATCAAATCGCGTGAAGTCTGTCCGGGGCCTTAACACGTCTCAACAGCTGTTCTCATCTTTTATAAACTGTCTGATCCTGTGTCCAAAGCTAACGTAGACGAATACAGGTCGCCCGCGTTTCTTGTTCGGGGCCTTTGAAAAACAAAGTTCTTGGGATCTTTATGCGGGTCTAAACCTGTTTAGAATTTTATGGTCGCAGAAGCTTGTAACTCGCAGTGAAAGGATTAGTGCTTGAACGACGATTTATTAAGCTACGAAAGACACATGAGAAAAACAGTCTAACGTTGGGAAGTACTTCTAGCGATGAAGAAGTGGTGAATAGGATTAGAAGCATGGAACGTTAGCGTTGTTTCCTTTTTACCCGCTGCGCCTCTGAGTTATGAGGATACTTTTAGCGAAGTTACAGCATCCCATGTCATCGTTTTTTTTCGCACTCTAGTTGCCCTTAGGCTAACCTGTTCTTATAAAAACCTGCGCTCCAAATGTTTGTGGCGCTACATAATATTAAAATTTAGAGCAGATTTACTATTAAAATCTTTTGCTATCAATTTCTTCTTCAGGAGCAATACTGTTCTATACCTCCTTTTTTCCACATGTTCTTTTCTCGAAGAAAGATAGTTACAAATTGCCTCCGTATCTGGTCATTTTCCGCTTGTAGTAGTCCACCTGTGCTTGCACTGCAGTCAAAGCTCAGACACTGGGAGCGGACGAGCCGCGGCCCCAAAGGGCCCTTCCGGCCCACCCGCGGCCCTAATTTGGGGGCGTGGCAGGAGTGCGGCCGACCCGCGGCCCTTCGCTCATGTCATTATCACTACACCGGCCAAGCCGAGCGAGGAAATAGACTCACAACTCAGCCGCCGCCCTTAAGGATGGGGCTAGCATTGCAGCGGCTGAACCGCGGACCAAAACCTGTGCAAGGCACTCCGGCCGAGCCGCGGCCCATCTCAAATGAAGGCCGCGGCTCGGCCGCTCCTGTTTGAGCGTAAGGGCCCAGACAGACACGCGATTTGATCGTCGCGACTGAATCGCGACGAGACAACTGTTACAACATCATTCCATGCCTATCAACTTGCATTTCGGTTGTGATATTTTCCAGCCCGAAATTTTTGAATGTGAAATGAAAATGAATGGAAATGTCGGCGATTGAGTCGCGACGATCAAATCTCGTGAAGTCTGTCCGGGGCCTAAAGGATACTTGCGTGATGTAGGAAGCATGGTCAGGCTGCCCTCAATAGCGGGATGTTCTCCGGGGTAAAAACAAAACCCTAAGTTGTTTTATGGATAGCTTTCGATAGCATCTTGACTTTATCCAATTTTGAAGTCAGACTCTGGTTCCCAAAGCTGCCATATCGGTGGCCCTAATTTTTGTTTTTTACTGTGTATTTTGCTATGTACCATGTTGAACCAAGGCCCAATTAGCGAGCTAGAATGAACCAAAGGCCCGACAACCAGCTGCGGCTGAGCCGAGACCCACCTGCGGCCGAGCCGAGGCTCATCGCCGGCTGAGCCGAGGCCCAATCTCCGGCCGGGCCGCGGAAACTGCGAAATTCCAGCCGGAAAAGGGCCGCTTGTCCGCTCCCAGTGTCTGAGAGTACATATAATGGACGTGTCATGCTAATAAGCCGAGCTAGGTAGTGGTTTTTTGGTAGTAACGGCCTGACCTTTTGCCTGGGACAATTGTATCTAAGAAGGAAGATTAGAATATAGGCGATTCATCGCACGCGAAGACAGGGCGTCACTGCAGACGCTGTTAGAGTCTGCTGATCGAGCGTCCCTCTTACCATTTGTTATCGTCGTCTCCCCGGTGTACGTTGAGCGGAGCTTTTGCGGACATTTCAACACGTTGGTGAACTTGTTAACCCTCTACTACGAGGCATTGTTTTTTGTGATCTCACGCTACCAACCCTGTCACGTGTGACAACAGCATATAAACGTGGCAGGTTAGAGAGTACAAAAAACCGTGCTTTGAAGTAGAGGCTTGACAAGTTCACCAACATGTTGAAATGTCCGCAAAAGCTCCGTCCAACGTACGCCGGGGAGACGACGATATCTCTACCATCAAAAATTATCGAAGTCGGACCAACAGCATCCAGTCTGTTGGTGCGCTATGCTTCCATTGTCAGTATACAGTCCCAGTCGTAGGTACCAGGTGGGCGCACGCGAAGAGGCATGCGAGTGCTTCGGCCTCTGCTCTGTGCTTTCAGTGCATTCAAGTGACTCTGCTTCGTGATAATAATTATCTGCCTTGTTTTAGCAAACTGTGAGATGTGCTTGTACACATAATTCCCAGCTTAGCGCTAGTTTTCCGAGACTATAGCAAATTATTTGAATGGTGGCTGTACACCATTGTTAAGCACTGTGTTCAATATACATGACAGGTCCACCTGTTTGGAAAAGAGCAAGGGGGTACTTGATGTAGATAAGCATATCAATGTAGTGTCTGTTGTGAATAAGAATAGTTCATTCTAGTCTTACATGTTGCTGTCCAGCGGCTCCGTAGTGGCCGCGCAACCAAAGAAGGCAATGAGTATGCGCTTCATTTACTGCGTTTTTCCAGCTTGTCATCTATTTATATCGAAGATTTTGAGATGTACTAAATAGAAGAAGGAGAGCAGTTGTTCGGCATCTTTTTCAAGAAATTGGACGGAGACAAAAAGAAAAACCTACCATACAAGAAATATAGTGAACCTTCAGTTTTCCAAGTAAGACGAGTATACGATATATTTTCAGTGGAAACGTGTCGGAAATAAAGCCTGAAACAGCCACAGTATTTGAAAAGACTGATGCTCCATTTTCTCCCGCAGTAGTGCATGAGCCTCCCCATATTTTACGTTGGAAGGTAAAAAGCCTGAAAAAACCTAGAAATTCAGAACATTTTCTGCAGGACGGGGTGAAGGCGTCAACTGAAGGCCGATTTGCTACCTCCACGCGAAGAGAGAAGCTGTTACAATTCGGATCAGAAATTGATGCGGAGGTTTTGCATAGTGGTCACATGAAGCAACTTTACTAGAATCATTTAGGCTGACACTGCCATAAAAAAGCTTCAACGTACCAACGATTTTCGGATTGCTTCACACGTGCGTTCTCAGTTACCTTTAAGGAAAGGAAGACGAAATTTCAGATAATGAGGGACGTCAAGAAAGAAAACATTTTGGAGACGGCTCTCAGCAAACAGAAGAATGATGTGTTGCGACAATTTTTTGAAAAAGGATTGCAGGACCCGACAATGGAGGTGAGATATGTTGAGTTTAACAAAAGCTTCATTTCGTTGATTCCCTTCCTTTGCTGAATAATTAGTGTCTATTGGCAACGAAAATCACTGGCGGTGTTTGTGGATAGAGAACCTCATGCCTCTTAGGGGCTCCGTCTTTCCGCCTGCGCAAATACTGATGGGGAGTGTGTTGTCAAAATGCAAGATGTTTGCGCGAAACCTGTAAGCGGCAAACGTCATCTAACCTGCGTTTATATCCAGCCCCACAATTGCCCTTGATTTAAGCAACTCTTTTGAGTATTTTGCGTCTCGAGTTTCTAGCGCGCAAACGCACACATAGGTTTTATAATAAACACACATACCTTCAACAAATCTTCGTTTAATATACATAACTTTCTTACGAGCGGCGCATGTTAGAAGTACCTTTCCAGTTTTCTGCTGAAGCGCAAAAAGAAGGTAGTCCAGGCCACCATAAGATGGCATTACTGACTAAAACGAAAGATTTCGGTTGGAGAAAGTTATCGATGCCCACACCAGTAATGTTGGGTAACTCCCATAACTACCAGCTCAACACGGGCATTCACAAACCCTTTCGCACCCCACCCCCCCCCACGCCCTCTCTCCCCGAACATTTATAACTACATACCGAAAGAGCCACGCTACTGAAGTGCTCATACTAGCCACGGCAAGGCGGAATTTAAAACTAATGACCTGTGACGGTACCAGCAACAATCTTGAGGCGAGTACCTAAAGTGAATAATCACAGCATACTAGTGGCGCACCCAGGATTTCCGTTCGGGGGGGGGGGGGACAAAAAAATTTTCTGATGAAGGTGCGTGGCGTTAGCCAAAGATCGAAATTGTGGGCTTAGAGAAGAAAGCGTTTTTTGCCGACCACTACAGGCAGTTGACGCTTGGAGGAAAATCGTATACTTCTCGTACGTTAAGTATAAATAGCTTACCAGAGAAATGATTCACATCAAAGTCATGGCATATTTGTAACATATGCATACTTACAAGAGTTTTGTTGCATTCAGATAATGGATGCGCTACGCGAAGCTATGGAAACTTGCTTCAAAACCTACTGCAATCATCTGGCTCAAAAAGATCAAAATCATATTGATCAGGAAAAGAAAGAGTTCTTAAAAGATGAAGAAAAGGTACGCTTTTCAAAGTCACAAAATAACAACAAAAAGATGATGCCATCGTACTCCAGGCTAAGCAAGTTATGCTTGACGTATTGTTGAGGTGCTCCGAATATTTACCTACCGTTTGGGGTGGAACACATTGTGGAGATGCCGTTATAGGTATGTTACGCTAAGTATATGTGCTATTCAACTGAAGTCAAAGAAGCACTATTTCTGCAGAAGTTCTTCCATCCGACAGTGAAATGGTGAGTGTCAGGCATTCCAGACAGTAATGTGAAGAAAAAACATTTTCAAGACACAATCTGGAAGGACAGAAACGGATGTTGATGCGCTCATAAAGAACATGGATAATGACAAAGAACTGGTGAAGTTTTGCATACATTCTCTTAGTGACCAGATGTAGCGGCAGACCAAATCATCATCGGTAGTCATTGAACTTGGCGCATTGTTGAAGGCAGTGGCTCGGCAAAACCGAAGATCTCAAAATTTCTACATAGAAGGTTGCTTGCACCCCAAACACGAGAATGGAGCAGGTCCGAGCGCTCAGCATGCGATCCCTGCCTAGAAAATTGCCATTAAACCCGTGCGCGCAAGCCATTCTTACACGCGCTCGGACGAGCTTGCGATATCCGTCACACCGTCAGAGGTGGCGTGCCGCTACTCAGACACTGGGACCGGGCGAGACGCGGCCTCAAAAGGCCTTTCCGGCCCGTCCGCGGCCTTAATCTGTGGGCGTGGCCGGAGTGCTGCCGAGCCGCGGACCTTAATTCATGTAGCATCATTGCACCGGCCGAGCCGCGGACTGAATATGGCTATATGGCTTACCGGCTCAGCCGCGGCCTTAATGATGGGGGTGGAGCATTGCAACGGCTGAGCCGCGGACCAAAATCTCTATAATGAAACTCCGGCCGAGCCGCGGCCCATGTCAGATAAGGTCCGCGGCTCGGCCGCTCCCAGTACCTGAGCACAAAGAACGTTTGCGTGATGTACGACGCATGGTCAGGCTGCCCTCAGTGTCCATAGCCTTGGATGTCTTTCTAGTCTCCAAGGCGGGAACAAGATCAATACGTTGCACAACCTTGGACAACATACTGTGTTATCCAATCCCGAAGTCGGACCTGGTTTCCGAAGCCGCTATGTCGGTGGCTTCAATTTTTGTCTTTTTTACTGTGTATATTTTGTGTGCCAGTGAATAAAAAACAGTTCTGCTGTATCCGAGCTAGAATAAACTAGACGGCCCGACAACCAGCTCCGCCTAAGCCGAGGTCCACAATCGGCTGAGCCGCGGCCCAAAAGCGGACGAGCCGAGGCTGTTTTCCGGCCGAGCCGCCGCCCATCTCCGGCCGGGCCGCGGACGCTGCGAAATTCCAGCCGGAAAAGGTCCGCGGCTCGGCTGCTCCCAGTGTCTGAGTATGCTATGAACATTCCCACGACGACTCTATCATCGGCTCCACGATTCGTGTAAAGGCGGGGTTTTGCCAACTCAAAGCATGGAGGTTTTTGATAGCGAGAGAGTACAAAAAACAATGGTATGACATGGAGGTTTAACAAATTTACCCGTGTTACCAGGCAAAGTCTGCAATACACCTCTACACGAATCGTGGAGACGATCATACGTCTCTAACTATGGCGGCAAGCGTTCTGCTCGTCTAAATTCAAAATGAAGGGCCTTGGGAAATGCTGGATTTCGCCACTTTCACTCTCTTTAGAGTGGATTTTCGCAATCAGCGCGTCGAATTACCCCAGGTAACCGAAAAAGCTACAGGCCGAAAATTTCCCTTTCCACTGCCTTTGAATGGACTAAGTGCACTTATTTAGGCGGAGCTCGGAAAATTAAAAACATGAGGAAAGCTATAAGTGCGCGCAAAAGCGTACATCTACAGTCACTTGATTGCGTGCATTTTATACTTGAGATAATTCGATTTTTTTCAAACATTTTAATATTATCGGATAATATTCGAAATGCGGAATTTCGAACATTCGAGAACCAGGATTGCCGAGTATGCAGCTTCAAGTAAATGTTCAGCCGAAACTTTTTTTTTTATAGTCAACCGAACAAAGTTTGAAAATCAAAAATATCAAATATTCGAGTCTCGAATGGTCGACTAAGTTTTCGAATGTCTAAGAAATTTGAAAATAGCTATTAGTTTGACTGTCAAATAAAAAATATTGAGATAGGGTCTTTGCAATCACTTTGAGACTATCATCTCTTTATGACACTTAAGAAATACTTTCCCCATTAACCTACAACACTGGAGACAATTTTATTTTTCTGCGTGGTTATACAAAAAGATGTATGATCAAACAGTTTCAACCACCTAAAACATACTGCCTAAAACATAGAAAACTTATTCTTCCTTAGGGCTTTCTTTTCCACCTCTGGAATATTCCCTAAACTGCTTTCACGGCTTTCCTGAAAGCGGGTATTCATAATGCAGAAACTCTTAATGCGCCCATGATTTACACGTCCAAAAATTCTATATTTCTGTAGAATTTAAAAGCCCTACTTATTTGCCTACTAGAATTTTTTATCAGTGATGGGGCTGATCATGGAAAAGAGGCAAGCGTTTTTTGCTGCCAAAAAACTTTTTTGTTTCCGTATATTGTGCCGGAGGTGCTACCATATCAGTAAGTAACTATCGACGGAAAAATAACCAACGGATATGCAAGAAGCGATTAGATATTCTGAAGCCGAGGAGGCGAAAATGATATTGCACCTAATGTGGCCTCCACCAAAAGGTTGGATGCCTGCCCGGGGTGTATCGGGCATCTTGTCTGCTCAATTGAATCTTAATGTTATGGTTTCTTCTAAATAATTTCGCTATAGTACGTAACCGTTCTTGTACCTGATATTTTCTCCGTCATCTGTGGACATCAACTTGGTGGGCTAGTTGGACACTCTGTGTAGTAAGATATGCCATACATTTGTGTCTTTTAGTACAGAAATGTTCCCTGGTGCAGTCATCGGATCCTAACGATTTTAAAATTTATTGAAAGTCATGAAGTGTGTGAGAAAGCAAAATTAAACAAATGTGTAAAATCAGCATCCTTCGTGTATCTTCAAGAAGTTCACGGTCTCGATCAATTCGCTTTTTGTCGAAATGGTGTCAAGAAAGGCGCACCTGGGGTCGGTCGCATTAACCTGCAAAGCCCAACTGACTAAAACTCTGCGAAATAATTATTTGTATTTTCCAAGAGCTTTCTCCAAACTGTTGAAAATAGTGCCGCTGATCACTTCCGATGAAGCTCGTACTCACTTCTTTTTGCACTCAGTATTTAAACAGAAGTTATTGAGCAATATGGGAATTGAGCAGACTTACACATTAGGTATCAAGTGAAATCCGTGTGGCATTTGTAGAAGGGAAATCAGAAAAGGTGACATGCCAAACAGTGACCGGGTTAGAAAATCGCAATTATAGAATAGGTGGAGTTCTATCTCTTAGGGCGTCCTTTATTGGAATCGCACATAGGAGGTTATCCTCTCACAAAAACCTAGAGAATTAATAGTATTGGCTACTTTAACGCCGTTGCTGTTTATCTTCTTCAATTTCCGGGTTTTGTTCGGACTGAAAACGATGAAATTCATGTGTCAAATCGTAACTTGTTTAATTGTTTGTTTGTTGTTTGTTTTTAACTTCTCAAATTGTTTTTCCTTTATATTGGCATAATGGATGTTCCAGATTATATTCAATCATTAGTGTTCACTTTCCTGTACATAAGCTTCGAAGTCTTCAGCCTTGGTACGGTATATGATGACTCAATCATTGTGACAAATGATTGCAATAGCTCTTCACGAGATGGAAGCGCAGTTAGTGTAATGACGGCGAAGTTTTTGCCAAAAAGATGATCATTTCTCTGTCAATTTGCTCCTTAGTGTTCTTAGTTATCCTTCTCTTGTTTCTTCAATTCTTGGTTGGGTTCTCCACGGTTGTTGACATCCACGCTAGCTTCCCCTTCAACAACATCCTCTGCCTCAGCTTTGTGCTTCCTTCGCATGTGATCGAGCGACTCCGTGTTATTCTCAACTTTAAGAGACGAAGCGATCCTGAACAAAATTTGCAAACAGCTCATGCGGCATCCTTCTCAGCATCAACAATTTCTTACAGTAATTCACGCGGATCCACTGCTGAACAAATTATAATGAACGTGGACTTGATTAAAAACTCCTAAAATGCATCAGAAAACTTAGTGATTTGAAAAAAAATGTGACAAATCAATGAGTTGCATTTTCGTATCAATTTGGAAAGAAGGCGCATGGAGCAGGGAAGACGAGTTCAAAAACTAAAACAGCTGGTTAAAATCTGTGCGAATTCTGACAGTGATACGACAGACAGTGACGGAAAAAGAGTGCGCCAATTGGTAATGATCAAAAAGTGAGTATTAAGGTATAGCACACCATTTTCTCAATTTTCTTGACGAACGGTCAGATGGTAATTCTCTTTGGAAAAAATGATTATATCCGTTTTTTGAAAAGGTGATAGATTGGTCAGATTCCAATTTAGATGATAAGTTCACGAGCAGTAGAGGGGCGCATTGAAATTCTAAGCATGGAGAAATAGTGGTAACCTAGAAGTAAAGACTAGATAAATCCAACTATCAATGAAGTCGGTCATAAGTATCGCAGATCGGCGGAATGCCAACGTGTGGCTGCACTGAAAAACGCTGTAGTGTATTAATACTATTCGTAAAAAGCAAGAACGAAGTAGTTTGAGCAAGGAATTGCTAAATTCGAATAAATCGGCATTCATAGCAAAGAATGAAAAATACGAAAGGCACATACACTGTCTGTCAAGATCCCTTCTCGTGGTAACTTTGCCAAAGCGCCCAAACTTGCATTTTTGACGCCCAAGTATACAAGCGCGGAGGCAACACATGGTCCTGGGGAGACGGCTGAGGTGAAAAAGGATTGAGTGTTCACGACTATAAACAACTCCAATTCGCTGCTGTGGTGTTTCGAGATGTACACTCCGTCTCAGCCCGAGGATCAAACTCTGATTACGCGCTTCGTTTCACAGAGTTACGACGTATCGCGACATATGATTTGGTATTTTGTCTGTGTGTCATCAGTCTCTGCGATCTTTAGTTGGCAAATTGGCAAAATGAGGCACATTGTGAAACACGATCAACACACCCAGCTAATCGTGTGACATCCAATGACACAGGAAAGGAAAACGATCTGTTGAAATCTGAGAAAAGGAACATGACTTGAACATGAACAACAGCTATAAAGGTAGTAAACGTGTAGTAATTACAAAAAAAAGACTCAAAAAATTTTTACGGTAGTTTCCACCCTCTTGGTCTTGTGCTGACAAGTTCTCAGTAGTCTTTCCTTTTGTAAAATATGACTTAGTCAGTTCTCATGAAGTGAAGATTGATTAGACGTCACTGCATAATATTTTATTAGCAAGTTTTTAGCCAATTCATAAGTTCGCATTGGAGAATTCATTAGGAATGATAGACAAAAGAGTAGAGTAAAGCTAGGTTAGAAAGCCCTTCTCTTCGAATAACATCGAAATCGGATGCGAGAATGTCGGCATGCTACTAGGGGGCAGCTGCAAGGAATCCTAGCGATACGCCCGTACGACCGCATTGAAGAAACGAGAATGGAAAGAATAACAAGCTAAAAATTCGAACTTGTTAAGCCATCTCAGAAATAAACCTTTTCTCCAGCATCATCAGATGAAGAATTTCGCAGCAAGAACTTTGTACATGATGATAACTTTTGCAAATCGGACAAGATGTGACTTTTAAGGCCCTGGCCAGACTTCGCTCAAAAGCGCCCAAAAGCGCTCAAAAGCGCTCAAAAGCGCGCAAAAGCGCCCAAATTTCTCTGGTGTCTCTTCACTTTCTCGTGTGAGGAGAGATGAGAGAGAGTGAAGAGAGGCTAGAGAAGTTTGGGCGCTTTTGCGCGCTTTTGAGCGCTTTTGGGCGCTTTTGAGCGAAGTCTGACCAGGGCCTAAGATGTCGCTGATATGAGAGCCGGTGTTCAACCATGAGAAGGCTTCCTATGTCTTATCACTCCAAAATTACTACAGCTTTCTTCTCTTAAGCGTTCTCTCTTTTATCAACATTGATTAGCTTAGAAAAAGAATAACCCCGCCAATAAGGTAATGTAGGCACTAAAAATTGTAAAAGTAAGTTTAACAGCATCGCAGTATAGGCGATAGTTTACTACAATACTGTCCTTGTGCTGAATGGAAAGATACTTTTTGACCGTGGTTCTGCAATGAGATGTATATCAGTAGATGCTTGAAATGCTGACTCTAAATCCATGTTATCTGCTGTGCCTCACTAAACGAAGTTATGGACCTTCTTCTATATTCATTTCATGAGATCTAGGCAGTATGAATTGTCAGTATTCAGTCTTTCTGAACACGGATGCGTCGGAGACAGCTTTCTTGGTCTTAAAGGCAGTGTCCAGATAGAAACTCGATTTTGAAAAATTCATTACGGTTATCCGCAACGCTGAGTTTAAAAATCGACATTGAAAGGGGAGAAAACGGCGAGAACATGCGTTTTCAAAAGCCTAACAATTTGAAATCCGACGGTCCCCGCCAAGGTTGAGAGCAGAGTCGTTGCGGGACCCTAAAACTTTGGCCGTGGCGGCATGCGTACTCTGCCGCATAGCAGGGATTCAAACAGGTCGGAGGATCCCGCCCCAACGCGTAATTTCCCCATTTCCCGATCGTTTTTGTTGCCCTAGGTCGAACGTTGTAATTTCGTACTTGCGCGATGCTGTGTCTGAGGGGCCCATTCGCACGGCATTGAAAGTCCCAAAGACCCCATCTTGTCCGGACACAGCCTTCAAAGGCACCGTCCACCCTAAGTTGATGGTCTTGAGCTTTTGGCGGTATATGATAGTAGGGTCCCTATCAACGCCCAAGTAGAGGCGAAAATTGCCGCTTCGGAATAACGAAGATGCACGAGGACCCCCAGACGGCACCGCCCTCCCCATCCATGGCCGCCCATCCACGCGCACCCATCCAATCACCGTTCCGGAGAACCCGGCCTGTGAATATTATATAGTTTGTTTTGTCAACCAGGTTTTGTGGTGGTTAACAAAATTGAAAGCCCATCAAAGCAGAATCTTTTTGGAAACTAGAACATCATGCCCAGGCTCAAAGAAGAGAGTACGTGGAAACCGGCCTGTGAGTTCTCCGGAAAGGAGATTTTCGGGGATTTCGCGGATCCTCGACTTCATAATCAGAACCAGGAAAATGACAAGGCCCTGAACGACAAAAACCTGAAAGTCGAGAACTTTGATGGATGGTGCTTTTAAAGTAAAGCTTTATTTTATTTTGACGCTCTTTTATAAAGCGTAAACGAGAATTCTAACGATATTGGTTAATATGTTCTATGTTCTAATTAATACTGTCATCAAAATAGCACAAATTTTGTCCAGAAAGCCACGGTCACCAAGTATCCTTTTGTAAGAAACTTTAGTAAAATTTAGAGAGTTGCGTCTCAGATTCCTTTGAAAGCCCATCAAAGCAGAATCTTTTTGGAAACTAGAACAACAGGTTAAAAACAAATATTAAGGACTGAGTTACAGCGCTACTTGACACTCAATTCAACATTCATGTTGTTGTCGGGAGATGGGTTAAAAAAGCCAATACTCCCTCTCCCACCAATCTATACTTCTAGGTATGTGGAAAGGATGAGCTAATACTCCTACGCGCGCACCCTTGTCATTGGGTACGTGGGAAGGTGGAGCCCAGTGATTCACCATCCCACACACCCTGGGGTTTAGTTTATTCAAGCTTCGACTAGTAATTCAGCATCGCTGTTTATTCACGTGAATCCTACACCAACTGATTCCAATCTGAAAGTAGCTTTTTGTTCGAATATCCTTTTTCCTTTTTCTCAGTATTTCTGATATTGAATAAAAGCAATTAGATAAGTGTAGGTGAGGCATGTATGGATATGGGCCTACCAGCTCTAATAAGGAAAGGTTCTTGGACCTGTCGTTCGCACCTTCGCTTCGCAAGAATCTTCACTTGGACTGACAAATCTGAATAGATAGCAGAATGACCACTACGAATGAATGTGAACAACTACATACTCATTCCAAAAGTTTATCCTGTAAGACCGATGACTTTGACATGAAAAAAAATTTTCTGCAGAAAGATAGATGTAAATGTGAAAGAATCAATTTATAAAGGCTCATTAAGAGCTATAGCTAGGAGTGACCGCCATGAGCTATATCTCCGAGAAAAATCTTTTCTGTTGTTTGAGTAGAAGCTTGAAAAATCGACGATTTGCTCAACTAACCCCTTTTGGCGCCACATACCACAAATTATATTTTTCAACCACTTTTGTGGGCTGAAGTATGTAGACTGCACAATTACTCACTATACGAAACCACGACTTTGCAAAAAAATTAATTACAAATCCAGTCCGCTAGCTTGAAGCCGTGTGGATCCGTTTGGCGAGCAATTTTTGTTGGATTCACGCAACGGATCCGCTCGCTCTCGTACATGGTGAGCTTACATGCTTTGAGCATCCATTGTAAAATCGGCCTAAAATCTTGGCTATAGCTTGCTCTGGGAATTTCGTGACAGACATACACGGAATTCACACATACGCACACAAACGTAAACAACCCATAGCCCGTACTATTATGACTTATAATAACGGGCTAAGGATTGTTTACGTCTTTTTGTGTGTCCGTGTGTCTGTCTGTCCGTTACGAAATTCGTAGAGCGAGTTCCAGCGAATTTCTTGACCCCAAATTTTGCAGTGGCGCAAGCTAACATCATGATAGTCCATTATGCAAAAGCACAAGCGGATCCGCTGAGTGGATCTCTCAAAAATTGCGCGTCAAACGGATCCACCTGGCTTCTAATTAGCAAAATTGGGCCTGTACCACCATTTTTCGCGATGCCATGGATGTGGACAGGCTAATGTGGAAGCCAAGGACTTTAGCTCTAAAAACTGATAAGGTTGCTACTTTACGGAAATGGCGCCAAAAGGATTTAGCTGCGTAAGTGTTCAGTTTGCCAAGATTTTTCCGATCATCTGATTGTGAGAAGATTCTTGCACAGAGATGTAGCCCACGATGTTCATTGTCCTTATGGCCTGCCAAGCCATAAAAATTCCAAAAACCTTTCAAAATTTACATCTGTTCTTCTGGGAAAAATCTCGTCTACGCGAAAATACCGACTTCACACAAAAAACCTCTAACAAGGGAAGGATAGTTGGATGCCGCGGCCATTCCTAATGATTTCTATACCAAAAAATGCGCCTTCGAATGCAGATTCTGAATCTGTGCTCGAAATCTGCGAAACGATCTTTTGAAGAAAGTTATGAACTTTTTTCCTTGAAAATTTAGCCTACTTTTGGATAGCAAAAATCACCAGATTTGATCTAGCCTACCGTTCGATGTACTGAAGAAAATTTTAGACGTAGTAATATTTATTTAGACTATCTGGATCATACTCAGCATTTGGAAAGGAGAGAAAATTTTTTTATTGATGATTTTGACCCTCCGCAGGAACGTAATTTTTTTTAATGAAAAAAATCATAACTCCATTCAGATTATCGTTTCGCAGATATGAAAAACAGTCTACGAACTAGCATTCAAAAGCGCATTTTTTGGTATACAAATCATTATGAATGGCTACGGCATCCAAGTACCCTTCCCCTGTAAGAACGAGTACAGTCGAGTAGATTTAGCGGTAAATATAGTGTGCTTGCACAGAAGGTGAAATGCGGTGAAATTTGCGCGTGAACAAGTAGCCACGTCAGTAGCGCGGGTATCTTGCGCGCGCAATTGGCCTGCGTCACAGTCGAAACTATTTCTTCACGCGCCAGTTTTACCGCATTTCACCTTCTGTGCAAGCACACTATATTTACCGCTAAATCTACTCGACTGTAGTTGTTTACGAATCATTCGTGATAGCCTACATAGCGCGGTGAGTTTCAAAGTCATTATTGTGCCGGAATGAGTAAGGCACACAGAAATTAGGGCCAGTGCAGCCTCTGCTAAGCAGAGGTGACGCACTAGTGATTTGTGTTCCACAAAGTGAGCGGCTACCTGCATCCCTTTGATACAAAAGAAAACCAGCAAAAAGTAGTAACGTAGCTTAGACGAGTTTTTTTTTTCAGAAAAAGATTGAAAGCGACTCCGACTATGATGTGGAAGTAAGTTATGCTTTTGAGCAACATTTTTTGCCGATGTTGTAGTGAAGACAACTTTTAAACTTGTCTCTTACTCAGTCATTCAGCCTTTTTTTCCAGATAAAAAAAGCATTAGCATTGCTTGGACTCGATAAAACATGTAAGACAGTGATAACCAGACTTTCTTCGAGAAAGCACAACAAGACGAAGACAACGGTGAGAGAGATCAGCCGTTGTGCATTGATTTTGAAATATAAACATTCATTCTAATAGATAGTTTCTGCAGCAAAGTACTCCCACAGCGAAACGATCCAAAGAGCAAGTGAGAAATGAGCAGGTAAAAGTCGACGAGTTTAGAAAAAACTCCGGCGAAGTAAGTTTGTTAATGTGAATTGAGGCCAGAAATCTAGTCTCATTTATATATGATATTTAGAGGCAGGAAAAAAGCGAATTCAAAAAACTGAGATCAAAAATCATAAGTCAAGGACAAAAAGTCACGAACAAAGCAGCCATTACTGGGGCATATTTTCGCAAGATAAATGAGCGTTCGCGTGAAGTTATAAAGGTACAGTTCGTGTCAACCTTGTGCTCCCTATTCCACCAGCCAAATCGCAAACCCAATCCTCGCACCGCGTTCGCGCGCGTATCTCAGACATTAGCGCTCAAATCCCGCCGGCAAAAACCTGTGTCCCGATGGAATGACTGCGGGACACAAGTGAAATGATCCGCGAGAAAACCGGGATGCCTGTATTTTGTTCGGGATAATGCTGCGCGACACATGTTATTGTCCCGAAATATTTTCTCTGAGAGCGGGAGCTTCTGCGGGAGACCCGATAATGTCGCGTCCAGTCACCGGAGGGACTCCCGCTCTAGGCTGCGACCTACTGCGGGAGACGCGATATGCAACGACTTTTTTAGCTGTTGGCTGGGCTTTTTCTCGGACTGGTTCTCCTTCAGAGGTACTAAAAATCTGTTCTAAACACCTTTTACAAAGGTGCCTGCTGTGCACGATAGAGAGTTTGGAACCAACATTTATTACCCTATTTTCAGGTGTATAAGCCGCACCCTTTTCACTCTAAAGGCGCACACGTCAAAAGACTGCCTGTTACGATGGGGCGCGTTAAGTGAGAGCAATGTGCGAGAATACGACCGCTTCGCGAGGCACATGCGCAGCGGCACGCCTGGGTCTGCTCGCGTTTAGAGCAAAGAGGATGCGGCTTATACACCTGGAAATAGGGTAGCTTTCGTGACCGAAAAATTATTGAAATTACTAGAACAAAGATAACCGAAGCAATTGTGGAATGTCTGATCAACATTTGAGGTGAGATCCATGATTCAATTTGAGTTCACACTTTCGACTTCTTCGTCTTGTTTATATTTCGCCTCATTCGCCTGCTCGTGATGATCAGAGCCAACTGGATTTGCAGCCAACTTACGCTTACTTTTCGTGAGCTTGTCTCAGCTGCTCGAAGCCGCCATCAACTCTCGCTACCCATCTTATATATAAAGCTGAATGTCTGTTTGTCTGTCTGTCTGTCTGTACGTACGTATGTTCCGAATGAAAAATTCCATTTCTGAACCGATCCGGACCAAACTTGGCACACATACACTACGGGCCCCGGCGGGTGTCAAAGGCTACTTTTCGTCATCGATCAATATCGATTTTATCGATTTTTATCGATTTTTTTGCTGAGTTCACCTACGGGGCTGGGAGTTCGCACAGGGGGGTAATCGAGCATGCTGATCACTCCCAAGGGGGTGATCAGCATGCTCGATTACACCCCTGTGCCAAATTCCAGCCCCCTAGCTCAAATTTTCAAAAAATCGATAAAATCGATAAAAGTAATCGATAATCCTGAAAACCAATATTGTATTCGGAATCCCCATGCTCGATTACCCCCTGTGCAAACTCCTAGCCCCGCAGGTCAAACTTTACAAAAAAATCGATAAAATCGATAAAAGTAATGGACGATCCTGAAAACTAATATTGTGTTCGTAATCAGCATGCTCGATTACCCCCTGTGCAAAATCCCAGCCTCGCATGTCAAAATTTACAAAAATCGATAAAATCAATAAAAGTAATCGATAATTCTGAAAACTAATATTGTATTCGGAATCCCCATGCTCACTTCCCCCCCCTGTGCCAACTCCTAGCCCTGTAGGTGAACTCTGCAAAAAAATCGATAAAAATCGGTAAAATCGACATCGATCGATAACGAAGAGTGGACTGTGACACCCGCCGGGGCCCGAAGTGTATGTGTGCCAAGTTTGGTCCGGATACGGCGGAGCCGGGTAAGCCAGCTAGTTTACAATAATTCTCAAGCTACAACTTACACTTTGAGGATAAATTCCGTCTTTTTTCACACAAACAAATCACGAAATGCAAAACCATTGAATCGGGTTACTTTTCCAGTACCAATGAAGTTGATGGTGAAAACGGAAAAACGGTTGGTTGATTGCGCCCATGTTGTACGCCGCCGTCCGAAAGTTTACCGTATATGTCAGGCTCCCGCCAGAGTGCCGAAGTTATGCCAGCGCTACGCCAGCATTTCGATCGATACACGTGTATTTCGTTGGGGACGTCAGCTAGCCCCGCCCAACGAAACACACGTGTATCGATCGAAATGCTGGCGTAGCGCTGGCATAACTTCGGCACTCTGGCGGGAGCCTCAGGTATACGCTCAGGCCCCGGCACGCGTTGATTTGGAGCATTTTGGAAACGAAGTCCCCTATGAATCGGCGAAAATTTACGAAGTCCCTTTTGATGTAAAAGTCAGTAGGGAAGCCCTCGTTCAATCAACATAACAAAACATAAATAAAAAAGCGAAAAAAGCAAGTTTTGAGGTACCTAATATGATAAAAAAGCAAAAAAAACATTCTGAGTCGATTCAATTCTTGAGTATGGTACCACTTTAGTGTTCAGAACGTTGAAAACCTCTTAGGCCAACCGAATCTGTGACCTCAACAATCTGGCGATGCATTTTTCGCCACATAGTTCAAAGAATACCGCATGTGATTGGAGCGCGATATCTACCTACCAGCGCTTTGGTTCACACTATTTTTGGCTCAAAAAAAGAGGAGAAGCAGTGGTTTGATTCGCTCTCTTCGCTATATGATAGATTTTGGAGCGTTCTCTTCGTCCAAACCAAAAAGGTTCAAAACTTATGTGAACTCTCCGATATTTATGCTCCGAACCAACCCAGTTGGTTTGGTGTTGGTCTAGAAACCAACAAATGAAACTGGCATTAGGGCGCATAAGTTTTTGGAACTTTTTACATAAGACAGTTTGGAGTAATATTGTGTACACATAGCACAAATTCGGCGTCCTGTGATTGTTTGTGTGCTGACAAGCCATCTGTTTGTTTGGGTCTTACGTTTGAAATTCGCGCGCTTGCCAAAGAACACGTTCAACTCGTGAAACTTGACATGTTCGTTTTTCGGCGCTCGCCCAGGACCTTATAAAAACGATATCCCCTATGGTTCTTACCTCAAAACGAAGTCCAGTTTGACCCCAGACCATCTGTGCCTGGCTCTGTATACGCTTTTGAATGAGGTAGATATATTCTCAGGAATAAAGCACGTGTTGCCGAATAAGATACATATTAACTGAAGAAGTCATAGGTAAATTGTAAACAAATCGCGTCTCCCAATAATCTTCCACTTCACTGTTGCTGTCGGGTAATCCCGAAAGTCGGGACAAATCCGGATGTCTCGCGATTTTTCATTCTGTGGGCGGATCTCCTGCGGGACTCAACCACGAATGTCTGAGATAGCTTGCACACTCAAAACTTGCTTCATCGATTGGGGTTGCCGCGCTAAGCCCTTAAAGGCAGCGGCCCGGCAGAATTTCGTTTTCCAGTTCTTCACCTTTTCGGATCCTCGCCATGAGGAACCCATATCTTGGCATTTCAGCGCATAAAAATGGCAACAATGCGCTTCTTCCGAAGCTTTTTAGGTCCGCATTCAGTGAAGATACGCCAAAAGCCGCGGCCCGCCTTTTTCGTTCCAAGCCCCGCCCACTTCTGCACTGAAGGCTGACCTGGGAAGCTTTGGAGAAGCGCATTTTTGCCATTTTCATGCGCTGAAAAGCCCAGATATGGGTTTCTCATGGCGAAAAGGCTCCGAAAACGTGAAGAACTGGAAAATTCTGCCAAGCCGCTGCCTTTAAGGTACGGACGCTTTGCAGCTGCGGAAAAGGAAGCATCGGTCGACAACGATTGTATGCGTTACGATGTGCTGGTCTCGTAATTCAACTCAGGGTGTCTCCCATAGAAATAACTACAAGTATAGTTACATTTACAAGGGAAGGATAGCAACTTAGATTCGCTTTTGAAGGTGGGACATATATATTTGGAATCTGCTTTGAACGCTGATTCCAAATATGCTGTTCCTAGCTGCTTAGCGTTATTCTGAAGCGAATTATGGGTTTGATGCTGTGAGTGATCACCAAACTTCTAAATGTCGTAAGGCGGCGTGTAGATGAGAATCTGCTCGAAAAAAGTGCTAGGATGTTGAACTCGCATCAGTTTAATTTTTTCAATCTTCAATCAAATATACTTGCAAAACCACCTAGACGTCGACACCGTAGCATCAGTAGGTCGAGGAGTATGCAAACTTTGCATAGAAAAGAGACCATAACTCGCTTCAGAATAACGCTAAGCAGCTAGGAACAGCATATTTGAAATCAGCGTTCCAAGCTGATTACAAATACCCTATTTTCCGGAGTATAAACCGCATTTCTTTTCACCGCGCGCGAGCTGAAATGCGATGTCGTTCGCGATGCGCGAAGCCACATAAGCAGCAGCTACTATCTATTTCGCCTGGTAATCTAATACGGGCTTTCTGCTTTCGTTCTTTCTTTGGTTTCTTCGCAAGTGTATTTGTTTGTAACAAAATTCTCCACCTTCTCATTTAATTTTCAAGAATCCGCTGAACAATAAAAGAACGTTCGAATACCAGTAGTAACCAGTAGTGGAATCGAGGGGTGATAAGCTTCAAACCGGTAAATCAAAATAAAGGAAAGCACAACTTCAGCACCAGTAACATCATTGAAAAAAAGGAAAGCACAGTCAACCAGTAGTATCATTTAGGAAAAAAACACAACCTAAACACCCGCAAAGTCATATGAAACAAGAAAAAAAGTGAAGACATGACTATCCGTACTAGAACGCACCGAGCTTTCAATTTGCTATAAAGCTCTTTTCAAAGGCGCTTTCGCGCTATTGTTCGCTGCGGCGGGTGCGGCTTATACAAGGTGCGGCTTATACTCCGGAAAATAGGGTATATGCGTCTCCTCTCAGAATGCGAATCTAGGTTAGTATCCTTCCCTTGTTAGCAGCATATGCCGATGCAAGGGACTCACTACCCTAAAATCTTTGTTTGCGAAAGGCCAAGATCTTGATTGCCTTGTTATGAAAACCAAGCATTTGTAAAAGAACAAACAAGCAAATACTAGAATTCTTCTTCGACTTCTCAAATCTGCCGAAGCTAGATAAAGTGGCGCAAACAATAGGAATTAATTAAGCATATCGTTCTAGGCACCAAAACCATCAAAGTAGAGATGATAACAGTGCGACATGGTATGAATCAAAAACATGAACTGAAAGCAATTTTCGTGCTAGTAAACTTCTGTGTTAGAACAAATTTCACATTCATTATCAAACTTCCATCTTCTGAGTGTCATGCTTGTAAAATGTTAGATTCTTGCGATTATGATAGGGAAAATTAATGATATGTAGAAACTGCTGTGTCATTTCATTTGTACATCCCTTGCAAATATTACAAACTTAATTGCTTGTATTTTTTGACTTAAGAAAGTATTAAAGATTTTGGCTGGTTAAGTTGAATATTTCAATCAATTGTTTGACTAAAACATAGATCTAAAGTGAAGAAGTATTGAACATGCCCTCTCTTTCCTACCTTCAACACCTGAATGTGGTCTTCTAATCCCAGACCATCTGACCGGGCCCCTTCAGGAAAGCCTTCAGGAAATTATCAATGTGCCACAAATCCTGATTAAGACATACAGACTCGAAAACCTAACACTGCTACACATTCTACAAGGTTTAGGTTGATACTTGACTGGTATAAAGAATGCACAAAAAGGCCCGTCTTTAATAAATTCTGGGGGGGGGGGGGGGGAGGGCAGCCACTATGCCTCAAAACGTCAGTTTCTCAAAACGTAGCTTTGTCCCTAATTGAGTTGTCCTGCCTTTGGAATCCACAAATCGGTCCGCTTTTACAACCTTGACGTAGTAAGAAATCGCTTCCAAATCCTCTCTTGGGCAAAATTCTGGGAAAGAGCCTTAAATCTGATTTTACCGTTGAATTATCGCCATGACATGTAGTCGTGTTCAATCTCCGAAAACCAGGCGTATACAATTGTAATGTCTTTAACACACTTTTTCTGATATTTTTACCGTATTTGCTTAGCTCATTTCCACGGCAAACGTACTCTGAAAAATTTTTTAGGGTGCTTCTCAAATTTTTTGCGGGCCATCCCAAAAAAAATTTTTTTTAAAGACTAATTTGAGTTCTCAAAAATCTCGAAAATTAGGTGCTAATCCGTTATCCAGACTCATTTTTCCAAAGAAGGATAATGCTTTTTAATCAAATTTGGTCTCAACTTCGCAGGAAAAAGTGTCAAACTTCTGTCGCGTCTCAAAAAATTTGACAATCATTTTCGTAATTGACAATTTTTACAAAGCGTTTGTATTGCCCTACTTAGTAAGTTCAAACTGTTTTTTTTTCAATAAATAATGATCCCATTTTCGATTGAAATTTCAGAAATGAATATCACATCATTATGATAATAATGTTTCCTTCATCAGGAACATGTTGGACTTGCAGAAGGGGGAACTGCGCTAGATTTCCATCTTAGCGGCGAAACAAGCAGTAAAGAGGTACTTCAAGCCATCATTTATAGCCTTTCATGGCTAAATTCGCACGGCCGACAGTGTTTGAAGAGAAAGACATTTTTGATTGATGCTGAAAGCAACTTTGCTCTTTAAGAGTAGAGAACAGATAGACAGCTTTTAGGTGATCATAAATGCTCTTACTTAACCGGAAATGATTTGAGAAAAACATGTCGAATTCGACCAAAGCATGTTAATTTCTTCTGACACAGATAGGCAGTTTTTGAATAGAATCTATGAAAAATTGAATCTAAATAGCGTATTTTATGAAAGAATTTGAAAAAATGAGTCCGGATAACGGCAAAGTATCAAAAAATTGAAAATTACTGAAAATTATTCCAATTATTTACAAGAATAAGTCACTTGCACTTTTCTATAAACCATGCATAGATTCCAAAACTCGGGGGGTTGCGGGGAGGCCTTTAGACTACTCAATCAACAATTGCAGTACATAAGTCTTCGAACGATTGCAACGATTGCACAATGCATCGATGTTCTTTGCGTTTTTGGGAGCTTTTGAGAATAGTCTGGTCGGGCCTAAGCGTGTACTGTTGCAAACACTCGACTTCCTGCTAGTATTTAGCATTATACCGAATGCAGCCCCTTTTTCTGGTCGAAAATGATGTGAATTTAACGCTATTTGCTTCCCGTTATCAATCACAAGGATTAGCGTATGGAACTTCCAGCTTTGGTGGAAAGAATTCTTACGAGATGATTTTCGAGATATATTCATGCAAGATCCCAGACAAAACAATAGGAATGTACTTTGAGCAATCAAAAATAAAAGCTTAGCCTTCACCTGAGACACTATATGACTTACATAATAAAACTAAACTAAAGGCGATAGTGTAGACGACTAACAATAAGATCGAGATAGCAGCTGCGAAGATCCACATTCGAGAGAATTCATCTTTCAAAGCCTCCTTCGCTGAGCAGTGCCTCGGCTACCAATAGTTCAGCTCTTCGATCACGAATGGCTCTCAGTGCGGCATCATACTGTTCTAAAACAACAACTTTTTTGTGAAAGATAAAATAGGGCGAATCATAGCCGATTACCCTAAGAACATTTTCGATTATAGCCAGCTATACCATGACAGACCAGGATCATGTGTGAAAAAAAAATCATGACTTATAATAAAGCGCGTGGTCTGTTTGTCTGTCTGTGTGTTTATGTCTGTCTGTCACGAAATTCATGGAGGGAGTTGTAGTCAAGATATTGAGCTGGAATTTTGGCCATAGCATCGTATCAGCATGTAGGTAAACTATGCAAAAGCATAAGCCGATCCGATAAATGGGACTTTTGAAAACTGCACGTCAAACAGGTCCACTTTTAGCCCAGCAAAGTGGATCGGTGATTGTACTTTTTGCGAAGTTGTGGATTTGCTTAACAAGTAAATGGGCAGGTCATGTACTTAAAGGCAGCATCCAGGCAGATACGAAAACTTAGAGTACGGGGGCGCCCGTCCTGGTAAGACTCTTGCTTGACTGGCAATGCACCAATTTGCTTCTCAAGGGAGAAATCCGCTTCAGAACTGGCGATCGGAAGGCCCCGCGACCGGGACGAGTTAGTTCGTTGAGCCAGAGTGCGCATACCGCACACAGTCAAGACATAGGGTCCCAAAAAGACTCTGCGTTTTAAAGGCAGCGTCCAGGCAGATCTGGATATGGGATTTTACGTGGAAAGTACTTTTGGGGCCCTAACTAAGGCACTGCTCAAGCGGCAGCGCAGATAGTGCTCTAACGGCTGAGATATTCCCTTCGAAACTGGACCCCGCGATCGTATTTCGCATGGAGTCATGGCGCAAACCGTGTGTCCTGGCGCGAAACTGCCATGAATCCATGCAAGTACGACCGCGGGGTCTTGTTTGGAGGGGAATATCTCTGCCGTTAGAGCACTACCTGATGCCGGTTGGGCAGTGGCTTAGTTAGGGCCCCAAAATTACTATCCACGTGAGATCCCATATGTCCAGACTTGCCTGGACGCTGCCTTCAACCTTGGCAGCAGGCGACAAAATTTAAATCAAGAGCTCCTGGAAAACCTGTTTTCGGCGTTTTCGTGCCCTTCAAGCTGCACTTTTAGAATCAGCGGTAGGAATAAGCCCAGGTAAGCGAAAAAATATCCCATTCGAAAGCCCGGACGCTGCCTTTAGGCCCAAAAAGTGAACAAAATATCTGTTTTTACGCAAAAACTGCGTTAAAAAGGAATAATTACGTAGATCGTCAATTTGTCATGGTTCCACCTAATTGCTTGTGAAGGTTTTTGCTCAGAAATGTGCGTGACAGAAGTGACTGTCCTTTATGGAAAATGCCCGATTATAATAACTTCAGTAGCTGATCGAAATACTCTTACAATCATAACTTATAATAACGGGCTAAGGTTGTTTACGTGTTTTTGTGTGTGTGTATGTGTGTATGTCTGTGTGTCTGTCTGTAACGAAATTCGTAGAGCGAGTTCCAGCCAACGTCCTGAGCCCAAATTTTGCACATCGCATGCGACCAACATAAGAGCCTATCGTGCAAAGTACGTTTGGTATACACCAAGCTGGTACCACAACGGGTATAACTGTTTATCAGATAGTAGCGGAGCAGCCGCTGACGATAATGGTAATAATCGAACCAACACCAGAACTGAGTATTCAGGCCCTTTTATGCCACTATTTTGGGCGTGGATAACCTGAATGCTCCTTCTGGCAAATAACAGTGCCAACTCCCAGCCCCGTAGCTCAAATTTTGCAAAAAATCGATAAAATCGATATCGATCGATACGAAAAGTAGCCTATGACACCCGCCGGGGCCCGAAGTGTATGTGTGCCAAGTTTGGTCCCGATCGGTTCAGAAATGGCATTTTCTATTCGGAACATACGTACAGACATACAGACAGACAAACAGACATTCAGCTTTATATATAAGAAGTGGATATGCAATATAGCATACAATATGACTCTACAATGGTAAAGGTCGTAGATTCACAAATAATCTACGACAGTACGAGTGGTTTTGTTGGTTGGATCTTTCAGAAACTGCACGTAAAACGGAACCACTTGGGTTCTGGCCAGCAAAATTGGTTCCGTATCACCACTTTTTGCAAAATCGGTGATGTGTTTGGCATGCTGATGTGCAAGCCATGGACTTAAGTCCAAAAAAGTGGAAAAAAATTCACTACTTTAGGAGGACGACGCCAAAAAGAAATGGTTGCTAAATGATTAATTTGGGTTTTACCTGAGCATTTGAGAAAGTTTTTGCACAAAGATGTAGCCCACGTTGCCTACTGTCCTTATGGTAGCTACCAAGCCAGAAAGAGTCCAAAAACCTATTCAAATTTGTATTTGTTCTTCTGCGAAAAGTTTCATCCAAGCGAAATCACCGATCTCACATGAAAAAAGCATTCTAAATGGGTAATTGTTTACATTTTACTCGCGATAATCGGCACTGCGCGGTGAGTTTCATTGCCATCTTTAGTTAAAGGCAGTGTCCAGGCTAAACCTAACTCCCTCCGATTAGTGTCGATCCTGAATGTAGGCCCCAGAAAAGGGACATCTGCGTTGGTCCGGTCTTCTAACGTTGTCTCTGAATGGAGATAAGGGGCCTGAAAGGTCCCTGGCTGGGCGGAGTCTGATATCAGACTCCGCCCATCAGGGACTGCTCACTATCTTGTCAATACGTGCCTCCCGACATGTTTGACAAGGTAGTGAGCAGAAGCTGCATATTGCATCCTGCAATGCAACTGCACCCATGCAGTTGCAGCTCCTTCCCGCTGACCTGCCGACGGGGACGAGCAATTCGAAACTCGTCCGCGCCCTTAAGACTGGGTCCCCAAGAATCGGGTTTTTTGTGAATTTTAGAGAGTTTGAAGTTCAGAACTGTAATCAGGGCCACGGAAAGGCCTCAGAATGACGAAAACATGGGGGGCCAAATTCTGGGTGGACGCTGCCTTTAAGGATGAGTAAGGCATATGAAGTAAGACCAGTGCGAGCCTCTGCGAAGCAGAGGTGACGCACTGGTCTTATATATAGAGAATCGTTAACTCAATTCAAAAACTGCAAATAGCGGGGAACCGCGTGGCGGTCTCGAAGCGAACACTCCTCCTTATAGCACTAGTTCACTAGTCGTTTATACAAAGATTTTCTCCTGAGTATTTGTTTACAATTCGTTCATGATGGTCAGCATCGCACGGTAGAGCCAACATCATGCGGGCAAAAGGAAAGCACATATCCTGTGTGCCCCAGAAAAGTTCCCATGTGAACCAGCGTGCGTACGTGGTGCGACGCTGCCTTTCGCTCTTTTTGACACGTTTCTCCTGAGATTTCAACGGAACTGCCCGGGAGGCGGTCGACAGGCGCGTATTGATCGGTTATCACTAATTAGAAAAATAAAAAAAGGAGTTTAAGTCTACCTTGCTCTCTCCGAACTTCAAATATGGGACCCTCATCTACGTTCACATGTATACGGCAAAACTTTCGGGTCTGAAAAGCAAGCTTTTTTGGAGTACGAATGCAGTATGACAATGGCGAGTGCCCCAACGCGCCCCTTTCGACATACACCGAACTGCCGAAGTTAACACGTTTAAAAGAGCGAAAGGCAGGAACGCCCGTAAAAGGGCTCGGAACTGGGAGGAGTTGCAGGTGCGCTCCATCGTCATTTCGATTAGAGCGCCATTTTTTCAACTGGAGCGCACTATCTCTAAATAGTGCATCTGAAAAGAAGTGTCAGTCATGAAAGGTTGCTGATGTATGACTGTTGCACGGCTGCTAGTATATACAAGTCGTGAGATTGATTGAGAAAGAGATGGCTACATGTTATCCGGTAAACTAGAGGAAGTTGTTGAAGTATGTAACGCAACTAGTCACACCAGTGTGATTAGTCGCTGTTACGATTGCTTCCTCTTTCAACATCATCCTCAAACACTTCGCAGTGACGCCATTTCTATATATGATTATGGGTAAAGTACACACTTAACATCTCTATGAAAGTCGTCTGTAAAACGTTCTGCCGAAGAGCTAAAAACGTTATGCTGAACAGCTAATGCTTTTTTTTGGTATGATCGATTGTCCCACACACAGTTCTGAACTTTTGGTTTGAACTCCATGAAAACAAGTGATTCCAATGTATTAAGTTTCATTTTATTGTTCGTTTCCATACTTACTATGATTAAGCTGACATTGGATATGTCCTGCACTTACTCGAAGAATTGCTTTCTTGAAATTCTTATGTATGGCTGCTCTGTATGTGGAGCTATACTTGTCCAGCGGCGCCATTCGGCTATCCGGGCCCCAAAAAATTTTCGCCATGGATTTCGCTGAAACTTGGCTCAGGGGGGGGGGGGGGTACCTTGCATGCTGATCACGAACACGTTTTTTTCGCGCGAGGACGCCTCCCTGTGCGACTACGGTGGATACACGGTAGGGGGGGGGGGGGCAAAATTACGGATTTGCAGAAAATTGACCTAGGGGGTTATTTCGACCTGCTGATGCCGAATATCATATTTATTTCGTACGGTAGCGTCATTTTCTGGGGCTACAATGGGTATACGGTAGGGAGTCAAAATCATGGATTGCACTGAAATTTGGCTTAGGAAGGCTATTTGATATGCTAATCACGAAAATCATACTCTTTTCGCACGATGAGGCCTTTTTATGAAATTACTGAGGGTTTACCGTAGTTGCCAAAAAATGGCAAATTTGAATGGAACTTTGCATTTGGCTGCGTTCATACTGATCCCGAACAGTTCCAGCACAGCGCTCAAAGTGAGCGTTGTGTTGGGACTGTTCCCGGATTACGTAATCAGCGTGAACGCAGCCTTTGGTGTTGGGTGTAGACCGACTCGCCCTACCGTCATGCCTTTCTTACAGGACCATCGCTGCGCGAGACACTCTGCGGCGGCTTTCCTAAGCAAACACAGGAGACAATGATTTACCGCGTATCGTACGCCCTACCGTATAGCTATCATATCCACACAGGAAAGCGTCTTCGTGAGGTAAAAACAAGATACTCGTGTTCAGCATGTCAAATTACCCCCCTGGGCCAAGTTTCACGCAAATCCAGATTTTGACCCCACCGTATACCCACCGTAATAACCCCAGAAAATGGCGCTACCGTACAATACCAGTATGATATCCGGCATCAGCGGGTCGAATAACCCCCCCCCCCTCTTACACCGATTCTGAGCGAAACCCACGATTTTGTCCCCTTAGGGAACGGCCATAGGTTGTCGGTGTTGTCGATGTTGTCGGTGTTGTCGGTGTTGTCGGTGTTGTCGATGTTGTCAGTGTTATCGGTGTTGTCGGTGTTGTCGGGGTTGTCGAGGTCAGAGACAGTTTAGAGAGCGCGCGAAACGTGGAGGCTATCATGAGGTCCTACAACGACCAGCAACCCCGAACACCGACAACACCGACAACGCCGACAACATCGACAACACCGACAACACCGACAACCTATGGCCGTTCCCTTACCTTATACCCTCCGTAACCCCGGAAAATGACGCTACCGTGCAAAACCAGTACGATATCTGTGATCCGCGGCCTGAATAACTCCCCTGGGCTAAGTTTTAGCAAAATCCATGACGAAAAATTTTGGGGCCCGGATAGCCGAATAGCGCCCAAAGAAAGGGTTACCTAGTATTTCCTTCGACGAAAGTATGTTACCGTACTCACTTCTAGACTGGTGTGCGAGACGCATCCAGGGAAAATTGTTATGTGGTGCTTAGCACTCAATGAAAGCAACGTTATCAAAAAAGATCAGAATGATTTTGTGCTTTAAGAGCAGCAAAGAACTCGTTTTCACAATTTCTGCACAGGGTGCAACCATATTCAAGTAAATTTCTAAGTTGTGTGATTTCCTTCTTCCACTTATCAATCAATACCTTGTATGGTTTGCACATTACCTTTGATGTTCATCAGTAGAATTCGCTAATGGTGAACGAATCACCTAGCTCCATCGAAAAGGCAATCGAGAGAACAGCATCTACGATCTCTACCAGATGCTAACACCACATATAGAGATCTGCGAATACATTTTCGTGTAAACAACCAGAAAAAGATACTATATAAAGAACTCGATGCCCATTAGCGCTTCATGTGATGACAGATTACATTGTTAGCAACTTCCTCTCTATCACCGCGAAACAGCAATGTCATCTCATTTTCCCTCATGACTTTAGTAAGAGCTGTGCATTGCAATAAGACATCATCATCCGGCGTGAAACCAAGTGTTTCGAGATAGTGCGCTCCAGTTGAAAAAATGGCTAATCGAAATGACGATGGAGCGCACCTGCAACTCCTCCCAGTTCCGAGCCCTTTTACGGGCGTTCGAAAGGCAGCGAGATGACGTGGTACCTATGGGAATCTTGCTGGGGAACAAATGATAGATAGAGAAGCCAGTGCGAGACTCTGCGAAGCAGAGATGAAGCACTGGTCGTGAAATAGTCTAACAACTCACTGTGAACCTCAATCTTTGCACGCTCCACGTCTCTTCTGGATACCCTAGACGATCATTTACATGGTAGAAGACAAGATGCTTAAACAGTGAATACCTTGTGTTAGGCTCGTAACAGTTCAATTTCTCACGTACGATGTTTGACGTAGCCGTGATAAGAGCATCCTGGAAAAGCTGACTGGGTTTAATATAGCAAAAGTTCAGTGCATAGGGGAAATCGTTCAAGAGCACAAAAAGTGCAGTGCAGTGTTGGTGGTCTGCGAGCTTTGATTGAGCAACTTTTCACCACTTTCTGGTTTTTCAAAATCAAGTATATTGGTAAAGGCAACGACAAAAACTGTTAAAGGTCTAAAGGATGTTGCACGCTCATTCTTCCCTGTGGAACCTGCAGAAATCGCAGTTCTGACCATACATTGGTAAACAGGGTAGGAACGGACTTTCATTCAAGACTGTCTGTACTTCCAGATGCACACATCTCTCACGCATTACACTGCCACGACGTACTCTTCCGATTGCATTCAGATATTATCATCCATTCTAAAACTGGGAGACTTGAAAACGCTTGCACAGATATAGATTTCATGGAAGACGCAAGACGTATCCAGACTTGAGAACACAATGTCCAAACAAGGCCGAAGTTGTTCTTCCTCGTTCCACGTAGTAATTAACTAGATAAAATAAAACACAACTATAAATTTGTTCAAAACATTTGAAGCTTGTCCACACAATGGTGCAAAGCGTACTCGACTTCCTCAGTCATTCGAATGTAGTATGTGCATATCCCTTGCCAAAAGGCCGAGCTAAGTTAGGTAGCTTCCCTTGTAGGCTGTGAAGTATTGCAAGCATTTTAATCTCTTACACGTTTTTCCGCTAATTTTCAATGTTCAAGATGAGAAAGAGCTCAGATATTGACCAGCTGACCACATCTGTGAGCATTCTCGAGCGTCCTAGTCCCAGAATCAGTGACAGCTAGGTAAAACAAGCCAGAGATAAGGGTGCAGGGGTGGAGGACTATATGTCGCCGAATTTGGAAGAGTCCCGCGCGGATTCCCTGCAGGAACGCATGTCCGCACATGTACAAGAGTGCGTATTCGTCGCAAATGACCGCGGGGACCGCCCTTTTTCGGCGACATATAGTCCTCTACACAGGGTGCAGCACTAGCTCACATATTAGGGACGTATCTACCAATTGCTGGATAATTTGCCCTTGAGATACATTAAGATCACAGTTTTTGTGATCTTGTGATGTATCTTCATTTTCTTCTAGTTTTTTCTCAGCGAAAAAGCAAATCAGCTGGCCTGTTTACCCATAACTGAACCACCATTAGGAGCTAACAGCAGCTAGCTACTCGTACTCACTAATTACGATAAACAGTAATCAAGAAAACTGCCAAAAGTAGCTCGATTCACTACCACAGAAAGCGAAAACAGTATAAACATGCATGCATCAAAAACTGCAAAAAAGCTGCTCTTAATGATCAGGTTAATAAGAGACTAACTTTATTGGGAGTTGGTGCAGCCGCAGTTCCATATCTCATGCACAAAGCATTCATTTGAAAGTCGCTCAGATCAACATCTTTTGTGGAAAGCGAAGACTGGTTGCGCATTGTGGCGATTGCGAAATGCTACAAAGCTGAAAAGCTAAAGTTAACATAATTGACAGTGTAAAAACGCAACGACAGCCTTGCGTACAGTCGGTTTCATCCCGGATTAGGCGAAACATTCTATCTAGGAGCAGCGCATGCGCATCGCTGGAGGCTTCGCGAGCGCATAGCGCTACCATTTTGCCAAGCAAAGACTAAGGAGATTGAAGAGACGCAGACATGGGATCTCAGCATGATAGGATATACCTACTGTAGCTGCGAAATGTTGCGAGGCGGACTCCCGCCAATCTAATTTCCGTCTAAAGCGGGTCGAAACTTACTGTACGTTCATACACAAAACAACGATATAGGCTCGTCTCAGAGAAGGCGGATGTCCGCACGAAGTAAGTACAGGGCTTATCAATTGCAGTGTCGCGTGCATCAGCATCTCCACTCCCGCGCCGCCGCTTCGCCTGGACTCTGCACGTCTTTCGCGAACATGATCCCTGATCTTATCCAATCGATTGAGGCTCCGCCTCTTCCACGCTTGCGGCGGGAAAGTGATCAGAGAGCATGTTCGCGAAAGAGATGCAGAGTCCGGCGAAGCGGCGGCGCGGGGTCGGAGATGGGTGCTCCTGACACTGCAGTTGATAAGCCCTGTATCAAGCGCCCCAACGCGGCACGTAAACCAAAATTCCCGCATAGAGCGGGTTAAAACAGAACTATTTGGACTGGTCCTTACGATGATATCAACGGTAAAGGCTGCAACTTCCATGTTTCCCCTTTTCTTGACCTCGGCATAGTTAGCAAGGCTGCGTTATTCAATCATTTCAACCCTAAAATCAAGAGATCTATAGGCCATCCGCGCGGCGCGGAAAGTGCGCAAGGTGTGTATTGCGCGTCACTCCTGTTTCCCCGTGCACTCTCGCCTCCTGTTTTCTTTGCGCTTCTTCCAGCAATGAACCCTCTTCAATGGGCGCATGGCGTTGCTCTCAGTGAGCAGCGCGGACGGCCTATACCATACAATCCGAAACTGGAATAATTAAGAACGTTTCGCGTTAGTGTGCAAGTGCACATCAGTCACATATTCTCGCTACACCGATATTGATATCATCGGCTCCCAGATTGCCGCGAGAGCGGAGTCGGAGGGCGTATCAGCGCTGCGGTTGTCCAGTGTCAAGGTATAGTTGAGAAATTGATTATCGGTTGACTATCGCGGCCCTCCTGGCGCTAATCTGGGAGCCGATGCTACAACTGAGCTCAGCATTAGCTGAGTACTACCCACTACAAATGGGGTGTATGTCAAGAGGCGCGATTTTTGTTGCCAGCTAGACAGCAAATAGCACATATTTGATGTTTTATAAGGTTCTGGGAGTATTTTAGTGTTTAGGAGAGATATATTAGATGGTTGCACGAGTTTTCCAGTCTTACTATTTCAAAAGCGATTCAAAATGAAAATTTTGAAGGTCAAAAACTCATGAAAATGCAATTAATAACAAATTTGTATTTATTTTGGTCGGATTTCCAGCAAAAGCCTCCAAACTCAGCAGGTAGTATTTTTAGATGACTAGTAAACCAATGTACTTTGTCTGGTGCTTTTTGAAGACTTGCGTAGCCCTAAACTTGAGTTTTGAGTTGGTGACACCCAGAGAAATCGCGCCTCTTGACCGTCTCCCCTACAAATGATAGCCAAGGAGAATGCCCTTTTCTCGAACTTCCAAAAATTTAACGTTGAGTCGTCGAGCGCATGGACTAGCCGGCATTGCTGGGCACACGACATGCAGCTGTATATATTACAAGAGAACAACTTATAATGCAACGGCTCTTTTATTGGTACAGCGTAGTTGTGTAAGTTTGAGGCAGTGCAGGCCAATCCGTGCATCAGCTACTTGAAAGTATCAGTGTCGCGCACATCTTCTTGTCATCCCTTAGTTGTCAGAAATCATCTACCCACACACTGGGATGCTCTCTGATTCATCGGGAGTGGCGGGTGGAAGGCAGGGCTCCGATCGCAGGCTGGGTTCACAGTGACCGTAAGTTTTGGGACAGTTCCAGCACAGCGCTCGAACTGTGCGCTGTACCGAAACTGTTCCGAAACTTGCGGATCAGTATGAACCCAGTCTATCAAGCCTAAGAAATTATTAACGCTTGCGAGAGAAGGACCGGGCATACACGCGATTTCATCGCCTCGCTATCCTCCCGACAAGATAGCTGTTACGAGTTAATCGCATGCCAACCATCTTGCACTTCGGTTGTGATAGTTATTCGCGATTAATCGGGTTAAAGCTATCACACCGGAATGCAAGATGGTCTGGTTGTGAGACTAGTGAGGCGATGAAATCGCTTGATGTATGCCCGGCCCTAAAGACGCAGTCTGCATCGCTCTCGCGAGCTGTCGCCTTTCACACGTCATTTTCAATGAATGAAAGGGTACCAGGGTTACGCAGCTCACACGACCATGATTCCACATCGTCATCACTGGTAATGGTACAGCGCATGCGATCTGCGAGTACTCCGACTGCTAACTCATCGTAGGCGCATTTAGTATATGCAGAATACAGCAGGCTACAGGGAGCGCATAGTACAGCCTCTCCCAATCGAGCCGCGAAACGTTCCCTCAAAACTGCGCTCGCAGTGCTAGAGGTTTGCGCGCTGCATGTGCGCACAAAGCATAGTCGGAGAGTTTGATTAAAATGGGAAAGAACAAGACGGTCAGCGACCGCTTACAGTAAATCACCAATGTTACGCAAAGCATAGCGTCTATCCTATGACTAGGAATATCGGAAATTGCGGACATTCTCTAGAGCCGGACATGTTCTTCCTTGCTTTCGAATGGTAGATGTAGACAAGCCTCAAAGTATTAACCTGTCAGACATCATTGTTTGACAATGTACAGAGAGTAACTGAGTCTCCCAGTCTTGAGACAACTGATAGCATAGAGCCATCATATCAATTTTAGCCTGGTCCGGATTCGGCATACCGTGAACACGGTGAACGGTCAGGAGTCACGGTCGGCGCGATTTTTTCGCGAAGCGATGCCGTAAGCGATGTCAGCAAAGCAGAAGCTAGCACTCCTGGCGCAGTCTTACTTATGGCACGAGCCATGCATCTGCCCCCACCCCACCCCCTAGACTGGCGCCGTGCCACTTTAGCTCCGGGCAGTTTTATGGGGTACAAAATTTAGACGCGGCGAAGCGGCGCGGCGCGCGGCGTGACTCCTGACATGGAGCCCCTAGACAGGAAAGCACAATAAATACAGAAATCAAGCAATAAGCAACAATCGCTATTCTTGCCTGCATCGTGCGGCGACACTTGTAACGACGGAGAGTGGACGTATCGTCTGCGCCCCAGAGAGGTTCCCATAGGTACTACGTCATCTCGCTGCCTTTCGCACTTTTGAACGTGTTAACCTCGGGCACTTCCGTTGAAATCTCAGGAGAAACGTGTCAAAAAGAGCGAAAGGCAGCGTTGTACCACGTACGCACGCTGGTTCACATGGGAACCTCTCTGGGGTGCAGACGGTAGGCAATTCGCATACCGCAAAGCATTATATACGACCATTCCTTGAGCGCCGTTGCGCGCGACACACCCTACGGCAGCTTTTGCCCAAGTAAAGAGGAGGAGCAGGAGAATTTGCCGTGTATGCGACTTGTTTAGGGTTTATGCCCTTGTGAACCGCTCCGTCCTAGCGCTAATTACTCTGCCCGGGCAACCCTGATTACTTCGCTTTTCTTATAATATAACAGAGTTTTCAAATATTTCTGGGCATTCCAAAGCAAGTGAGGCACACGATAATGATAATGAGGATGTTTGAATTATGAAGACAAAAAGTTGGAAAGGTTGCAGACCATTTCGTGATTCCTTCGCCCTTCCCAGTTTTCAAAACACCATGAAGTCTGCACTTGTAAGCTGAAGGATTTACCTAAGCCGCCATAAAACATTTTCGAGTTTCATGGTAATCGAAATCTTGTTTGATTCTTTTTTCGTGAAAATGCCTTTGCAGTCCAATTCAGACGTCTCTAACGACAGCATAGCTCTCCCTCACCCAAGCGGCGGCAGCACCGACCAATCAGAGGCGCGCAGTTTAGGCTGCTAATGTTATGGGCCGTCCGCGCTGCGCGCGGAGAGCAACGCTGTTGCGTCCGCCGAAGATAGAAGAAGCGCAGAGAAAAACAGGCGCGAGAGTGCACGGGGAAAGAGGAGTGACGCGCAATACACACCTTGCGCACTCTCCGCGCCCTGCGCGGACGGCCTATAGCGGTTCAGAAGGGCCGTCTCCCACTTGTTTATACAAGTCATGGGGGTGGCTACTGGATACGTCCGTGCAAAAGGGCGTCTTCCAAGCAGAATAGTTATGAGGATTGTGATGCAAAGCAGCGGTCTCACGGAAAGCAGGATGCTTTCAGCAGGCTGCCAATGGAAGAATTTGAATGTAATAAGCAGCGTAGCCAAGGTCTGCTAGCTTTTTAGTGGATGGTACAGTGTGTGTCAAACATGTGCTCACTTTCCGGTCGGCCTTGAGCACGACGCTAGAGCGCCATGCGGCAGAGCGTTCAAATTTGCCAAATGATCGGAGATCGCTGCGCAATGCCGACGAGCTGCGAATGCGTAGTTGGAAAAGGGAGCACGTGGTTGACACCAATTGAAAAGTGGAATTTAGACACGAGCAGTACAAGCGTTTACTTATTTTGAATTCAACTGAATCATCGATATTTATCAGAATATAGGGACCTTTAAGTAACAACCGACCAACTATATTTACGAACAAAACGCAAACAATGCCGAAACAGTAAAGTACCAATTGAGTGTTTCTTACAAGGGAAGGATATTTGATTCCATTGACGATTGAGTAAGCGATGTATACCGCGTATACAGTCCCCAGACGGTGATCTCTAAACCGCATTCCATATCTGCTATGACGTCATTCTGGAGGAGTTATAAAGGATTTTTGGTGCTGTGGATAGTGCTTGGACTGCGGAGCTGGACGTCATGGGTTCAATTCCTCTGGGATGCCACCCGTTTTGTATTTTTGTAAATTTTAGCAGGCAAGTTGCAAAAACCTGCCGATATAAAAAAGTTGATTTTCACAATATGAAGCAATATATTTATAGTTGATTCGTTGACCCCACGGATTGAAGCACGCGCCGCGATGTAAAACGTTTGCCCCAGTACGAATCCGCCGTTGTACGAGTCATGCTCTCGCGACGACTCAGCCGCGCCGCGTGGTTCGTAGCGTTAGGTTAGGTGGTTCAGGGCCAATAAATGTAAATATATTGCTTCATATTGTGAAAATCAACTTTTTTGATGTCGACAGGTTTTGCAACTTGCCTACTAAAATGTACAAAAATGCAAAACGGGTGGCATCCCAGAATCAAACCCACGACGTCCAGCTCCGCAGTCCAAGCCACTATCCACTGCACCAAAAATCCTTCATAACTCATCCAGAATGACGTCATAGCAGATATGGAATGCGGTTTAGAGATCACCGTCCGGGACGGTATACGCGGTATGCACTATAGTTGAAACGACCGAAAATTTTCGTCGAACGAATGAATTTCGAATAATCAGCTTTTGAAAATTATTCGAACGAACGAATATTATTCGATCTGTGATTTTCAGATTATTCGAATTCGAATATTCGAATAATGCTACATTTCAAAATTCGAATGGACGAATATTCGAATAAATGGGGTTGGTCGAATATTCGACTATTCGAATAATCGAATAATTACATATTGTCGAATATTCGACTATTCGAATAATCGAATAATCTCACCTGTCCGAATATTCGACTATTCGAATAATTCGAATAATTTAGCGGCTCAAACAATGCTGCTTTTTTCTTTGTTGCGGTTTGCAAAAAACTCAATCGCTATATTTGATCTAGATTTATAGCTCTTAATTGTTTGTGTAGCAAGTGGTAGGATGACTGGGTTATTGTCGTTGGTCAGGGTTCCACCTAGGAAACAGAAGAATTTCACTCAAACATGTAGTTCAAGGTGTTCGTGGCCTTTTAAGATGGCTACTAAGCCTTACTTAGTCATCGTTTCAACGCATTTATTCTTCCTTACAAAAGTTTCTTCCGAAGTTACACAGATCTTTTTCCCAAAGCCTTAGATTTAACATGGAAAACCTTTTAGATTAGGTAGTTGTTTGTAATTTATTCGTAATGGTCAGCACTGCGTGAGTTCTAAGACTAGCACTGGGGGAGCACGAGGAAGGCCTACAGTAATAGAATCAGTGAACCTCTGCGGTTGTCCCGAAAGTTTTGTCCGTTTTTTCAAACCACTATAGAACCACGCATGATTAAGACCTGAATGAGTCTCAACATGCATTCGATGCAGCTTTTCCTCTTTTTTAAGAATACATCTTCGAATCACAATCTTATATGCTTTCTTTGATAATTGCCAAAATTCTCCTTCCGTTAATTTTATCTGCTCAAAGTTAAGCTGCGTTTTTGAATTTCATTCCAAAGTTCTAAATTTCATTCCAAAGTTTCGGAAAGGGCTAGGTATGGATCAAATAGAGCAATCCTCAGACTACAAGGTAATATTTTTAGATTCTCTTAATTTGCTGTTTTTATTCTTCGGAAGTTTCGATTTTTTTAAGTCATGAAACACGCAACTGCAGCAAATACACGAAAGCTTTCAAAGCTTTTGCGAATTGAAATACGAATCTTATCAAACACTATTTATGCTACATAAACAAGTTTGTTTTGCTTTGATAAAGCAGCTTTTTGGAATTTTCGGTACTTTTAAGTGGTAAACGTAATCAAAAAGCGCAGTTTTCATCAAACAAATAATTATAACGAGCTTGGTAAACATAGATGTAATCTAAATTGGATACAGTGTAGCCAGAGGTTTGCTCTACATAATAATTTTCAGCGCTCTTTGAAAACATCAGAATAAAATTTTTTTGAAACTGGTAAAAATTTGGCGTTACTTCTGAGCTGCTAAGAAAGCCGTGTCGACAACATTGCAGAGGCAGAGTAGATCAGAGAGCATAGAGCTGTAAGAAAGAAGATAAAAATATGTACCAAATCGTATCTAAGTTGTCCATGCTTTGGTGTTCTGGTCTTCTAGTGAGCGATGGAAAAAACGGACAAAACTTTCGGGACAACCTAATACTTCTGTGCTCATCTAAACAAAAAAAGAAAACTTGTGGAAATATTTGTATATTAGCTGGTAATCCAATACTTGTCGGGAATTCTCAATCATTGAGTTTCAGAGTTTCTGCTAGGACTGAATTTTCACAAAGTTGTTTTAGTTGTATTTTTGAGGTTTGTACTTTTTTGTAAGGAATCTTCCATATCTCTTACTCAGGTTCAAAATAATCAATGTTCAACCTACATGCCTACTCGAAGTATTATTCCTCTACGAACTTTGCAACATTCTAATACTAGTTTTATAAGACTACGGGCAGCCGATTTGAGCATAGTGACTGATATAAGGCTGCCGCCAAGTCAAGCGGCTTAGGTCCTTACGACCGCCTTGCTCTGGCCTTGCGCTGTAACGTAACTTTCAGGTATATTGACATGCGAGCGGTGACTAGGCTGGCAAGGCAAGTGAAGGTCTCGAGATGAAGGAATGAATTTTGCCTATACCTGCTGCCTTAGGAGGCTGCTAAACCGTTACATGCTTATGCAAGCTGTTTGAGGACCAGTGGTCTGCTAAAAAACGCCTAATGACGGCTTTTCTTCCTCCAATTTAGAGCTTGGGGGTCTTTCCGCATGATATCGCATCTCGACTTTTCAGACGCGATTTGCAGAAAATAGTTCATCACTCCAAATGAGTTATGAGTAATACTTGTCATCACTATGCTCTGGCATGACTCGCGACTCATCCTAAAAAGGGAAGCTTGCTAACCATTCTGTCATATGATGATTTATTTGTGTGATTGACCGATCGGGGACATACTTGTACTCAGTCAGCTGAAGTTTTCTTTTGACATCGAATGTTCGAATGAATGTTCTTAAATTTTCGAATATTCGAATGACTGTCTTTCAAGTTGCTCGAATATTCGAATATTCGAATGACTGTCTTTTGAAATTCCTCGAATATTCGATTATTCGAATAACGGTCTTTTAAAATTCCTCGAATACATGAATATTCGAATAACTCATTTTTTCAAATCATCGAATGAACGAATTATTTGAATACAGGCCTTTCTTATTTATTCGACTACTCGAATAATCGAATAATTGGACTTCCTCGAATATTCGACTATTCGAATATTCGAATAGTCGAACATTTCGAATAAATTATTCGAACACGAATATTCGGTTCTAACTATAGTATGCACTGCTTACCCAATCGTCACTGCGATCAGGTATCCTTTTCTTGTTAGAATATTCCTGGAGACAAATTTGTTTCCTAATTTACTATTCACTTGATGGTTGCATGCTTTGACTTTTGTAGTAGTTGCTTTATGAAACGGAGTAAATTGATACTCACAGGACGGCTGAAGTTAATTGATAGAGAAGGTTATGCCACAAATCGCGAGTGTGCCTGTTTGCCAACATCAGAAGCACAACGAGAGGAAGGATGATTTCTTTCATTTTAGATATATTTTGACTATTTTATTGATTCATTGCACCCACATTTCAAACCCACTCGTTGCCAAATACGATTTTTCAGGAAGCGGATATCAAGTGCTATGGCCTGGAATCGAATTTTTTTAAAAGAATTATCTTTGTTCATGAGATAAAAAACGTTTTCCTTTTTTAACAACAGTAAAATGGAAGAGAGCAGAGCAGAAAAAGCTTTAGTGATTCTCAGTCACTATATTGTTTGTCAATATTACAGTTGTATTAGTGCTAAGAGCTTTTCGAAAACACTCATCATAACTTGCAGGAGTTTGCTTCCATCATTTTTGCGTCTGGCTACCAAGCCTTAGTACACTGAAATCTTTTCACAAGCGAGCTGATATACAAGTCGGTATTTATGTACTTGCAAACAGTCTATGGATGCTTTGCTTAATTGTCTGGTGTTATTGCGAATCTTTGATTTAGCTGTTTGTGTATTCCGCATGAATGACGCTGATGCGGATGGAAGTAGATAAAGTTTTTGTGACATTTCATTAGACCAATAAATTTAAGCATAACCAGTTAGCTGCTCCGTCGTTACACAACATGATCTTTAATTATCTTCGAATCTTGCTTGGAAGTTCTCGCCATTGCGATTACAACATGTAGATAAGGCATGATGTATGTAGCTATAAAAGCGCAAATCTACTGGCATCCAGGATACCAAGCAGCTTACTTCTATCCATTCCATTAAACAACCTCGTATAGGATCCTTGGCTAAAATTGCAGATTTTGCCGCCGGCAATGTTGTCTGCTAGACTTGCGGTTCTTCTTGTGATTTGCGTTGTTGTTTCTGAAGCATGCCAAAACAATATGAGTGGTATGCTATTTGCTCATTTAGATATTCGTTATCGAATCATCCAATACTCCTCTTCAGGTGCTAGACGACGTCAAGAAGAACAACAACAACAACGAACAGAGGAAGCAGCTGCTGCTAGAGTGGCCTCCGTAGGCGGAACCCGGACAGAAATTAATGCGGCAAGAGCCGAAGCTCGCACAGCCAGCGTGACAGCCTTAAGGTCCATGAGCCCCGTAGGCAGAGCACGAATAGCTAGAAATCGCAATCGCAACGCACGTCGTCGCGGAGCAGCTGCACGTCGTCGCGCAGCAGCTGCGCGCCGTAGACAACAAGCCGGAGGTGGCACACGACGTATGTGATTTTTTGATTCTTTGGCGAATGATTCTTTCCGTTAAAAAAAATACCAACTGCTGATTCCTCCCAAATTGAATGTATTTGCAGCTCGTCCAACACCAAGGCCAATGATGGGAGGACAAATGCAAATGATGGGAGGACAAATGCAAATGATGGGAGGAGGACAGCAAATGATGGGAGGACAAATGATGATGGGCTAGCCTTTGCGAAGTTTATACACTTAATACAGTGCCACTTCTACGATATGTACTCAGCGATGAATTTCTTACGACAACTACTGGAAACGGCACAAAGTCACGCGTGATGTTACTCCTAATTTATGCATCAGAATAAATTATTTATCCAGAAGAAAAAAAGAACTATATGGGTTTGCGATTGGGTTATAGTTGAAAATCTATCGAGTTTTGCTTCATTTTCTTGCATCGATGTTTAAGTGTGATACAAACTCTAATTCCGCATATTTACAGTGCTCCTTATAATAAATGCATATGATTGATAGAAATTTAGAAAGGTCATTTTGGCGTTGTCTATTACTGAGATACATAACCTTTGATTCAACTGGCTTAGCTTCGGAAAGGCGGGGCCTTGTGACGTAATAAAGGCCGCTCGCGCCCGCGATGCACCTACGTTTCTTTCCCGCGGGTGCGCTCTAATCACTAGCTAGCCTTTAATAGGTCACGGAGCCCCGCTTTAACAAAGCCAAGCCGGTTGAATCAAATGATAATCTGTAGTAAATATTGACAATGAAGAACAGTTTTGGACATTACATATTGTGAAGATTGATTTTCATTTCCTGTTTGAAAGCCGAAAGCAGTGCTCCATTTCTTCAGCTGCCGATTACAAATGTGAAAGTTGCTGGTATTATCAATTTTTCCTACATCGTATATTTGCTAAACCTTGAACAAAACGAATGTCATATTTGTAATCAAAACATGAAACTTCAGAATGATAGTCACAGTAAAGTCATCTTTGTAACCTATTAGGATTACTCGTTCAGAACAGTCGAACATGGAGCTACTTTCATGCTTCACGAAATCCCATAGAAAAGGCTTTGTGCACATGTTTGAACTTTGAACAACTCGACTCACCGGTGGCTCGCATGTTTGACCTAGCCACTCCGATGCTGGCGAGAATTGAACTGGGTTGTTAACGTGTCACTAATTGCCAATTCTTGGTAGGCTCCAAAAGAGGTATGAACATTAGATTCAAGACCGAGCAGGAAGTGTGGCGCACGATCGTCAATAAGGCCTTCCTGATTTACCGTATACTTATCATAAGCATAAAGAAGGCCCTAGCAAGCATAATTAGCACCATTGCCGTAATTAGCACAAATAACCCCGGGGAACGATTTCAACTTGAGGACTCTCAAATCTTGGGCTGCGGGGTAATTTGCAAAATGTTTCTTGTTTCAAGGTTGAGTAGCTTTTTTTGCCCTCGAACAAAGCATCAGTCTGTCCTGATCCACATTGGGAACCTCATTTGAAACAGGTGCCGAGATCTCTTTTTTCCGTTTGAGGTTTTCCTCGAGATAGTGTATTAGCAGTTCGCCCGAGTTCTTGATCTCTTGAGCGATCCTCGCGTGCTATCGGCTTCTTAAGTTGTGGTAAATTTCATCGAGGGGGCGAAGTTGAGGAGAGTGCCTCAAGGCTAAATTGTCACGGGATTGTGTAAGGCGAAACCTGCATTAGTCCTCGGGCAGAGTTTATGCGATTTCATCGTCGCGACACATCGCGACAAGACAAGCGTTACGAGTTCACTGCATGCCGATCTTGTTAATCGCGTTGAAACTATCACAACCGAAATGCAAGAAGATCGGCATGCAATGAACTCGTAACAGTTGTCTTGTCGCGATGATTCGCTAGGATGAAATCGCGTGAACTCTGCCCGAGACCTTATTCGCCTGAACCTCGTATTTTCTCAGGGGTCATTGGAGTTTGATTTCCCTTCATTCGTCTGAGTGGTTGACAGTCACTGAAAGCACGGCAACTGAAAGCATAAAAGGATAATCTGGCTGTGCTCCTTTTATTGTTCGAACTAAAATAACTAATATGATCCAATTATAAAAATGATGCTTATTATGTTTTTCGAAAACTCTTCATTTGTTACGAAAGATATACGGTTATAGTCTCAGTATGCTTTGATTTTGCATAATGGAGTTGGCAGCCATACTCCTAAAGGAGCCATGTTGTCATTATCACCATTATCATTTCGATTACGAACCCCGCCCCTCCCTTTCCGTCTCTCAGTACGACCCCCAAGCCTGGTATGCCACACTCATTCTTCTTGATGGGAAAATTTATTTTGTCGCTCTCCAAAGAAAAAGAAAGACACTTTGACCGCAATCTATTGCTGTTTTAGTCCTGACTGACAGTGGTACATTTCTTCTAGCATCCAACTCTTTTATTGTCTTTGAAAAGACGTTTGTATCGTCTGACTTGGAAGCTGCCGCCTCCAGCGATCACCAACTGTAGATAAGCTTGGAAATACATAGCTATAAAAGCGCAAGATAGCAGAATAGACATTTAGCATGGACAAGCCAGCTTTGATCCTATGATGTGTTATTGTCTCCTGCAAGTTTTATACATCTTATTTCAGTTATCCCTGGTCGGAGATGTTTTTGACAAAATTTGCAATTCTTCTCGTGGTTGGCATTGCTGTTTGTAGGGCGTGCCAGGGTAACATGAGTGAGTGAAGACTGGCTGTCACTGTTGTTACACATTTGACCTGCATTTAAGGAAGCAGACAAGAAAGGCAGCAGCTTAGATCAGCACAAACAGCCATAGCCGAAGGAGACACCGCTGCTGCATCGCAGTTAACAGGGGCAGCACCTGCAACACGTGGTAGCTCCCCTCCAGCAAGATCGCCTGCAGCGGCTAGAGCACGCGCACAAGCTGCAGCAAATGCACGGAGTAGGACTGCGGATGGTCAAACACGAGGTGAGTATTCCCCGTTTTCTATTCTGCCTGAAGACAACTTTGTGGATGAAGCCTTCGCTGTTAATTCAGAAGTTCGTAAAGGTTGGTGACTCCTATTACTTGCGCTTGAAGGCAGCTCTCGGCAAAAAGATGGGTGCCGGGTTTTTGTGGCGATACTAAAGTAGACCCCCCTACGTAAGCGATGAGTGAAGTTTTCGGAGCGAAAAGGGGTTTACCAAGCATGAAATTTGCTCCGAAAGTGGCCCGGATCTTACTGTAGGCTCGCATACGGTATGCATGCAAGGTAGAGACGCGGAGTCGTTGCGGGACCTGCGCTCATGATTGTGTGCGCTATGCGTGCTCTGGCCTTCCAGTTCGAAATCGCTTTGCGGGTGGCATTCGCGCTGCAGAGCGCAAGCTGCTCCTCCAAATACTAGTTCTTTCGCCGAAGTAAGGCATAGGCTTTTTTGCTCATTCTTCGTGCAGGGAGTGGCTCGGCAGCTTGATTCACTCACAAGGGAAGTCCGATTAGTCGAAGTGGCCCTTCCGAATGAGTCATATACCATTTCAAAAAGCGTTAAACGCTGATTCCGAATCTGATTTTATTATCTGCCGAGCGCCTCTGCATGCCGAGTTATAAATCTTTTTTTAAGGCGAATGAACGCAGAATTTACGTAAAGTTAACTATTACGGACTTTTCAGCGCCTAAATAAAGCAACATGTAGTATGGGTGTTTTGGACACAAGGTATCCTTTAAAATGGAGTGCTCTGATAACCAACATTGGACCATTTGAGCAATTTTGACGAATTTTCCTCTAATTACGCATTCAATTTTTCAACCCAAAAACGATAACTCGGCGTCCAGAGGAGCTCGGCAGATAACGAAGACAGATTCGGAATCAGCGTTTAACGCTCTTCAAAATAGTATATGGCTCATTTGGAAAGGCCACTTCGACTAATCCGACCTCCCTTGTCGGCAAACTTGGGTTGCTTGTGTATGAGTCCAACATTGCACTGTGAACCTTCCGAAAATCAAGAAAAGTTGCTTTTGTCGATTCTTGGCCGCGCAGACTGCAGAGAGGGAGCGACCAGAGATCTATATATGCCTTTTGAGCAATGACTGGCTATCGGACCGTGCATTCGATTGCCGTTAAGATGAATAGAGTGTCTTCACCCACTCAAATTCCGACAATCAATCTCTCTCAAAACGCATAAATCTTTCCTCCCGTCCTTCCAGCAGTTCTGTCAGTGCAAAAAAGGGACTTTTGACCATCCTAAAAGCTGCAAAGCATAGTCTTTGACACCGCATGTTTAGAAGCTTCACGAATACAAAGAACATGAAGTAGAAAACCTGCCGAGCCACTACCCTTGAGGCACAGAATCACTGCGACGATAGCCGCCTTAAAGGCAGTGTCCGGGCAAAAACTCGATTTTGAGATTTTGTGCTTACCCGGGCCTATACACTATGCTGAATCCGAAAATCCACATTGGAAAGCGCAAAAACGGCAAGAAAGGGCTCTAATGCAGGAGGGAAATCGAAAGTGGGCGGGGTCCTCCCCACTGTGAATTTCGCAGTGCCAGCTTCTGGAGCAATCTTCCCAATTCCTCTAGGGCCCTGAGATCTCCATCGGCCAGGTGCGAATGCATAACTTGAAATCGGAACGGAGAAGATCGCTCTGGAAGCTGGGAGCGTGAATTCACAGTGGGGAGGGCCCCGCCCACCTGCTGATTTCCCTCCCGTGTTAGAGCCGTTTTTCGCCGTTTTCGCGCTCTCCAATGTGCATTTTCGGATTCAGCGTAGCGAATAGGCCCGGGTAAGCAAAAAATCTCAAGATCGAGTTTTTGCCCGGACACTGCCTTTGAAGGCAATGTCCGGGCAAAAACTCGATTTTGAGATTTTGTGCTTACTTGGGTCTATTCGCTATGCTGAATCCGAAAATGCACATCGTAGAGCGCGAAAATGGCGAAAAACGGCTCTAACACAGGAGGGATGGAACAGGTGGGCGGGGTCCTCCCCACTGCGAATTCACGTTCCCGGCTTCCGGAGCGACCTTCACGCTTCCGGTTCCAAGTCAATCATTCGCACTAGGTCGGTGGCGATGGTAGAACGGCTAGCGGAATCGAGAAAATCGCTCCGGGAGCTGGGAGCGTGAAATTGCACTGGGAAAAGCCCCGCCCATCTGCCGATTTCCCTCCTATATTAGAGCCCTTTTTCGCCGTTTTCGCGCTTTCCAATGTGGATTTTTGGATTCATCAGGGCGAATAGGCCCATATAAGCACAAAATCTCAAAATCAAGTTTTTGCCCGGACACTGCCTTTAACGCTGTGTTCGCGCCTAGTTTTTTATTCTGAAAACACCCCTTTGTGCGATGGCAGACTTTATTTACTCGTGGCACGGGTGCGGTAATTGAAGGGAAGGTTATAACGCTAACAACCACAGATTTTATGCTTATGCTTATTATATCTTGGGTCTTGGTATTTGAGGTGCACATTTGCTCGTTGAGGGAAAACCACAGTAAGACAATAAGAAATGAGCCCATCGAGTGTTTTATTTACTGGTTTGCGGTACACGTTGGTAATAATAAGTAGAATACGAACAGAATAAAAGGTTTGATCAAGGGAGATTTTTGATGAGCGTAGCTGACAGCGCTGGATCCTCCCGCTACTTCTTTTTCGCACTCCTCTTGTACGTTGTTCACCGCGCTATCGGCATCATCTCAGCTTTTTCTGGCATCCTTTAAAAGATCTGCATGAGGTGACAGTCTCTAACCAAATAATTATCCTAGTTTCACGAGTGCAAGACGCAACCATTTTTTGTACTCCACCAGCCTGAACATACCAAGCAATTTCGCTAACAAAGGGCCCTATGCTTACGTCTGTTTAGACGATGTATTGTCTGGAAAATAATTTGCGATTGAACAGCAGTCAAGTAACAAGGTTTTGAAGTAAATTACTCAACAACTAATAGTCTTCACCTCTCTTGGGGAGAAATCACAAATCTTTTGCACTATAATAAGAAATTATTTGCAACTGTTCCTACTATTTGCAGCTGTTCCTACTCCAACTCCCAGAGGTTAGCATTTGTTTTTCAACACTATGTACATATATATATGTGGGACCATATATATGACAACACTCAGCAACGGTACTCCCATGACTCCTGGTCAGAATGGCACAAAATGGTGCTACCTTGTTTTCTTTGCTCATTATTTATGTTTTCCAGTAATAAATTCTTGACATAGTCTATACAAAAGCAGATCTTGCACGGACTGGGCTCACCGAAAGACACATCTATAAAGTGGATTGAAAGAAAGCTAAAGGTAATTTAAAAAAAACGTCTTACAACGGAACGTTACTCGGTGTCCGTGGCCTTTTGAGATGAGATGTATACCATTACACTCTGCGCTATTCCGAATCCGATTTCCGTTTTTGCTAATCGTTTTTCTGAGAGAAGTTATGAAAGATTTTCGCGCCAAAGAAAAAATAGTCGGACAACCAAAACCTCTGCTACGGCGTGTAGTGGTTAGTGCTATGGCTTTACAAACTCGTGCAGATTTAGGTTCGAATCTTTTCGTGTTTTTCGGTTTTGCATTCCTCAATGAAGCTTCATTTTGCAAGTTAGGCATCCTCGACGTATTACTCTGAGGCGACCATTGACGTGAAAATTTTTCATAGCTACTTTTAGAGAAACGATTAGCAGAAACGGAAGTCAGATTCGGAATCAGCGTTTTAAGGCGAGTGTAACGATTTATATCTCATTCAAAAGCTCACGAAACCAATTATCGTTCCCTTGTTAGTGACTTGCAGCAGGAAATGGTACATATGAATTCTGAAGGTGACAAAACACGCAGAACATATTCAAAATCCTCTTGCTACCTTTCACGGAATTTTAGTTATCATCGGGTCATGTAACTGCATCTACCCCACCGTCTAGTTTATCACTGCACTACTTTAGCACCGAAAAATTTTGAAAGGCAAAAATGGCATTGCCACCTTCCGCACCACCTGGTCATTTGTACACAATATACGAATTGCACACAACGCACGGCAAGCTTTACAGTTAATATCTCAGTGACCTTTCTAGCGGAACAAACTGTGGAAACATGTACAACTATGCGATATTCACCCAATCACGCTGGAGAGAGAAACAAGGAGAAATTGAGAAGTAACGGAGCGAAACGCGAAAACGATTGGAGCTCTGGGGGTATTGGAGAGGCCGTGCGAGCACTCGTGGACGCTATCCGGCCACTGCGTCGCGCGGGGGCCTTTGCCTGCTCCCTTTCGGGCCTGAGCCGTGCACCCCTCCTTGACCGCCAAGCACCTGCCACCTTTCGGCGGCTGAGCCCTTGCGACGCAACGCTTGGCGCGGACGCCCGGTCACCGTACTCAACGACTACACGGGACCCCCTTACTCCATCCACACCAATTTACTGTCTAAAAGCTGGCTCGCAGGCGCCCTCAACGACACCCAGTAAATACGCGGTAGTTCAGCTATTCGCGCCGGTGGTTTGTGAGAGAGTATGAATGGCGAGGACACCAAGCGCATGTGAGGGTGGAGAGAGTTTATTAGGGCTGGGTAGAAGTGGATAGCATTTTGTATCGAAACACATCACAGGGAGAAACCAAGCTAAAACTTGAAAGTTCAAATCAGACTGCCTTCCACTGGCCATCTACACTTTGAAAAAATCAAACATTGAATAATTTACTGCACAAAAATCGAATGCGCAGTTCTTATGTACACTTACTAGAATTTTTATTCAATCTGTAACTACAGCTAGAAACATTTTTAGTGCATCAAACTTGCTACTGAAAGCTGCAGATCTGGAAAAAGAATGAGTTTTTCACGAACGGAAAGTTTCTGGTTGCAAAGCAAAGCGAAAGGTTGGGGCGGTATTCAGAAATCTCCCGCTCGCTGTTCGGACGCGTTGCATCTTTATACGCGGCCCGGACAGAGCGTCTGACTCGTGATCAATGAAAGGTTGGTCAACTGGCCGATAAGGGCAGCAAAGCCCGAATTGTCGAGATCAGGACTTCCGTGCCGGGATTTTCGGGGTTTTGGGGGGGGGGGGGGGAGGTTCTCGACTCCATAGGAAGTAGGAACGCGAGAAGC